GCATATATTTTTACGTATGGGTGGTCCCGGGGATCGAACCCACTACCCTGGCGTTACGAGCGCCATGCTCTACCAATTGAGCTACAGAGGACCAAAATAATATGTAGACTGACCAATAGGAACACGGCCGGCACTGAGTATGCACACAATAATATGATTATTGTGAATAGTCAGATTAATATAATAGTAGATTTAAACGTTTACATCAGGGGTGTCAAACATACGGTCCAATCCGGCCCATGGGTGTTTGATGGTGAGGAAATATAACACATTTCAGTGCGGCCCTCTGGACCTTGTTGAAGACCGAATGCGCCCCCCAGGGCAAAATGAGTTTAACACCCCTGGTTTACATGCTTTGCAAGAAGAACGATTTACCTAATACTCTTGTTTACATGACACATCTGAAATTAGGTTACCTGATGGGAATTTGATAAATGCACAAAATCGCCAATCAAAATAAACGTTCCACCACAGCGACCATGTTATTTTTGGGAAGCCTATTTGATTCTAAATTTGGACATATAAAGTTTGTATGTGAAAACTATTTCTAAGAGGCATACTTTCAGTTTCTCCGAACTCACTTCATTTGTACATAGAAGGAGGATTGCACTGCTGGTGCTGCCACATGCTAGCACAGATCAAATACACAAATGCACCTCTGCAGTTGACTACGTTGGCTGAAGGCACTGTACACCTTCAGAAAGTATTCACACCCCTTTACTTTATCCACATTTTGCTGTGTTATAGCCTGAATTAAAAATCGATTACATTTGGGTTTTGTGTCACTGATCTACACACAATACCCCACAATGTCATAGTGGAATTCTGTTTGTAAAAATAAATAATGTCAAGCTGAAATGTCTTGAGTCAACAAGTATTCAACCCCTTTTTTATGTTATAAGTTCAGGAGTAAAAGTGTGCTTAACAAATCGCATAATAAGTTTCATTGACTCATTCCGTGTTCAATTATAGTGGTTAACATGATTACATTTTATTTATTTATGACTACCTCATCTCTGTACCTCACACATGCAATTATCTGTAAGGTCCCTCGATCGAGTAGTGAATTTCAAGCACCAGATTCAACCACAAAGAACTGGAAGGTTTTTCAATGCCTTGCAAAGAAGGGCACCGATTGATAGTGTAAAAATAAAAAAGCAGACGCTAAATACCTTTTGAGCATGGTGAAGTTATTAATTACAATTTGGATGGTGTATCACTACAAAGATACAGGCTATGGTTGAATGGCGGGAACCCGGTTACCGAGATTCACCGGGATTTACCACCCAAAACCACTCCCTTTTCCCGGGATAAATAACTGCGAGAAACCGGTAAATTATAATAAATTATTTATATGAACAGGGTGGCGTGAAATGGAACTGTTAAATTATATGCAATGTTTAAATCTGGCTTCTCTACAACCTCTGCATGATGAATCAATGCTCAGTGTGGGGATAGACAGCCCATCTCAGTATGGAGTGCAGTTCACATTGCATGTAGACCTACAGTACCATCTCATCATGGTAACTTTTTGTCTTGTGACAGGTAGGCCTACATTTGCTGCAGCATAGCGTATGGTACAATAATATAAAGACCGAATGCACGTCTAATTACCCATCACCATCTGGCTTTCGGGGGTCACCTTGTTTTTTAATTGTAAAGATTAAATTGCAGCTGCAGAGTTTTTAAACAGCCTATCACTTGAATATCGTTGCTTTAAATTAGTGCACGCGCTAGCACTCTCTCACAGTCTTTCTCACTCTCCATAAACAAATTGCATCCAAAATAGATAATCCTGTTGTAGATTGATAAATAGCCCTATATATACATGTCATAGCCTACCTCTTTCAGGTAATACATTAAATGCAGTATTAGCCTTATATTTAGCTAATTAATGATGGGTTATTCATAATAAGCTTCTAATTTATAGCCTCTGTGTCTTGGCAATATGCAAGCACCTGTGCTCCGCTGGCCTATCCTTAAAAAAACGCTCCTTAGATCTTGGAGTCCCATGCATGAAAAGCTAGACTAGAATAGAATAGCTTTTTTTTTTAGCATTTCTTTTACCAATAGACTATTCGAAAAGGGATGCAAGCTCTTTTTTGCTGAATGTTAAATACAGCAGCCAATAGAACTCACAGGTAGTTTAAAAGAAGAGCAAATGCACAATGGCAGTAGGCTATAGTAGTTATTTATTCAGACCCATAACCATTCAATCTTTGTGAAGATAAGTGAAACTCTTCTTCATCTAATTCTAGTACTATATTATTCAAGGATGTCATTAGAATAATGAAGATAAGGACAACAAAACATATTTAATTGAACTGTTGAAAGCGAGGAAGGAATGAAGGAACAATAGAGAGAGAAAGAGGGGGTAGGCTAATAACATTAGGGAAAAGATTATGAAAGGTATACATGCGCCTACTAATTATAATAGGCCCTATTATATTTCTAAATTAATCTAAGTTGCTACCCTATACTTGGAACTTTGAGGCTGCATGTGATGCACCAGAATTGCATGTTCTCATCTGCTATATCATGGTTTGAACTATGCTTAATTCCAGTCCATATAATACAGTATAATACAATACAGTACAGTAATATAGTTCACATTAAAAAATATTAGCCTACTGAAGCTAGTTTCCTTTATTTACCCAAGAGATGTTGTGCGTAATGTGCAGTAGCCTATATCATATACTGTATATATTGGATAATGGCACAATCATTTGGGCTTTTTTGGGCTCAGGCTCATTAAATGTCATTAATGTAGGGCTCATAAAATGAATGTAATATATGGCTCATCAGGCTCAGGTAGCACCAGGTTTTTCATGCTGATCAAAGCTCTAATAAAATCCAGACATACAGTGCATTCAGAAAGTATTCAGACCCCTTCACTTTTTCCCAAATTTTGTTACGTTACAGCCTTATTCTAAAATGGATTAAATAAATAAAAATCCTCATCAATCTACACACAATACCCCATAATGACAAAGTGAAAAAAGGTTTTTAGACCGTTTTGCAAATGTATTAAAAGAAAACACAAAAAATAATACCTTATTTACATAAGTATTCAGACCCTTTGCTATGAGACTCGAAATTGAGCTCAGGTGCATCCTGTTTCAATTGATCATCCTTGAGATGTTTCTACAACTTGATTGGAGTCCACTTGTGGTAAATTCAACTGATTGGACATGATTTGGAAAGGCACACACCTGTCTATATAAGGCCCCACAGTTGACAGTGCATGTCAGAGCAAAAACCAAGCCATGAGGTCGAAGGAATTGTCCGTAGTGCTCCGAGACAGGATTGTGTCGAGGCACAGATCTGGGGAAGGGTACCAAAAAATGTATGCAGCATTGAAGGTCCCCAAGAACACAGTGGCCTCCATCATTCTTAAATGGAAGAAGTTTGGAACCACCAAGACTCTTCCTAGAGCTGGCCACCCAGCCAAACTGAGCAATGGGGGGAGAAGGGTTTTGGTCAGGGAGGTGACCAAGAACCTGATGGTCACTCTGACAGAGCTCCAGAGTTCCTCTGTGGAGATGGGAGAACCTTCCAGAAGGACAACCCTCTCGGCAGCACTCCACCAATAAGGCCTTTATGGTAGAGTGGCCAGACGGAAGCCTCTCCCCAGTAAAAGGCACATGACAGCCCACTTGGAGTTTGCCAAAAGGCACCTAAAGGACTCTCAGACCATGAGAAAAAATATTATCTGGTCTGATGAACCAAGATTGAACTCTTTGGCCTGAATGCCAAGCGTCACGTCTGGAGGAAACCAGGCACCGCTGAATACTTTCTGAAGGCACTGTAGCCTTGCAAGCCAATCGCAGAATTCAACGACAAAACTGAAGCAAAGCATACAATCTGGCCAGGTTGATATCAAGATTTGAATTTGGTAACATCGCACAGTGTGACATGTAATAATCGTAAAAGACTGAATCAGATGTACAGTGTGGGAAGGCCTTAAAGGTAGACTCAGCTGCCAACTGCCACGAGCTGAACCGCAGATATCTTCGCATGTGCACAGGTTCACTTCACGCACCAAAACAGCGGAGAAGTTGAGCCTCACGCTCTTAGTTATTGTGGAAATTTACCCACTATGCTGTTTACTTTCTGCATCTATGTCATATTGCTGAGTCTACCTTTAAAATAAAATTACAGTATGGAATAAACTTTTGCAGTTTAGGGTGATTCGCTCAATATTTTTATATTTTCATTTGGAATTTATATTGTGCAATTTAAAAAATATATGTTTATATGATTGCTGTCCCAGGGACATCATACATGTACAGAGCCTTCTCCTATGACCAATATAAAAACAAGTGACACCCACACATGAACGGTCTCCATTGTCTTCCGTCAGATGGCGTCATTCTAACGCGACACGACATCAGTGCAGACGGCCGTTGCGCTACCAGACGTGAGACAATGGTTTAGAAATTCAGTGACGGACAAGTCCCTAAATTAATTCAATTTATGGGAACAAGCGCGCGCTTGAAAGGAGCACACATTTCCCTCCTATCACAGTGCTTTACTACACATGACCCCACCCATTTCAGATACCGCAGCTTGCGCGCGGAGAAGCTGTCTGGGAGAAATATACAAGCAGCATCTGGATTGGATTTAATTCATAGGCGCTGTTGTACAGTACTGTAGCCTGCAAACAATCACACAAATAGCTTATATATTTGTTGTGTGTCTGCAAACAAGGGATTTAATTAAGTTATAAATGCGTAGTGCTGCGCTGCTGATTATGCTGAATATCTGAAAGCATTTGACAAAAGGGATCTCATCTGCACGCGGATGTTGACCAAAGGAGACATTGGAGCGTTCCAGAGGCAACACAACACCGACGAGAACGAAGGATGTCTAGACTAGTTATATTGTTTTGAATGGACATTTTTGGGAATACCTGCATGTTTGGATAGCTCGCTGCAAGGTGACATAGATAGACAGGGGTTCTTCTTTCTCAGTGTTGTTTTAATAAAAGTATAGCAGCGATGGATGAAGGTGCAGAGTCCGATGATGCTGTCATTATTGTGGAGAACGAAGCAGAGAGTATGCCAGTTCAGGAGAACACGAACGCCTGCAACGAGCAGACAGGCACCTTGAATTTTCTGGACACTTGTCCCGTGTGTCATTTTAACTTTCACAGTCGAGAACCAAAACTTCTGCCATGTCTCCACTCTTTTTGTAAGAAGTGTTTGCCGTCGCCTTCCAGGAATTTGGCAATGCCAGACACTAACAGCTCGACGAAACCACGTGAGCTGCTCATGTTTACAAACAATAGATACGCGAGACAGTGCATCCCAATGACTGTATAAGTGAAGGTGCATCCGGGTGTGTAAAATTGCATAGTCTGTGCAAGACAAGTGCAAAACCCACTATTGCATCCTATCTGTGATGTATTTAAAACAATGAATCTGCATTTTATGTCATTGCATCTACCAAGAGGAATTTAATGCACAATTACAATTTCAGACATGTGATGAGCTGGCTTTGGATTTGGAAGAGTGGGGTTTGAGGGAGGGAGTGAGTCTTATCTCTTTGGGCACATGTTCTTGTGCTTTCTTGGATATATTTAATCATTATCGTTGTGTGTGGAACTTCATTCACTATGTATGCATGATGTGTTTGTCTGTCCATCTTCCCAATTACAGTGAATGTGATTCGCTGCCCAGTGTGCAGACAGGAGTGTATGGAGGTGGACGTGATGGAGAACTTCTTTGTGAGGGACTCAGTGGAGGCTTCCAGCAGCACCGTGGAGAGGACTGTTCAGGTGGGTGGAAATACTGGTCAATATAGGTTACTGCTGGAATGTACATTCCTTTGTGTATTATTGGACATAGTCTCACTTGCCTGACTCATGGCTCCCCTGTAAAAATAGACTAGGGGTAACCCAAGCAAAGCTTGTTCAGCAGCCTGGATCTCTCAGTCAGTTACCAAGCCATTTCACCAAGATGCCAGGTGTTTGTCAGCTTAGTAGCTCATGAGCATTATACAGAGGGAAAGCTGAAGCTTCGCATTATCTCCAATATCAATGTCACTACCACAGACACACAGTTTTGCCTTGGGCAGATTTCAGGCTCTAAATTCTAATGTTTACTTTCTAACCGATATTCTGTTTGTGCTGAGGCATAATAAGTTCAAGTTCACATTTGACTTAACTTTCGTTGAAAGTAATAAGACTGACTGTCAGTAGCTATGTACAGTTGAAGTCGGAAGTTTACATACACCTTAGCCAAATACATTTAAACTCAGTTTTTCACAATTCCTGACATTTAATCCTAGTAAATAATTCCCTGTCTTAGGTCAGTTAGGCTCACCACTTTATTTTAAGAATGTGAAATGTCAGAATAATAGTAGAGAGAATGATTTATTTCAGCTTTTATTTATTTCATCACATTCCCAGTGGTCAGAAGTTTACATACACTCAATTAGTATTTGGTAGCATTGCCTTTAAATTGTTTAACTTGGGTCAAACGTTTCGGGTAGCCTTCCACAAGCTTCCTACAATAAATTGGGTGAATTTTGGCCCATTCCTCCTGACAGAGCTGGTGTAACTGAGGCAGGTTTGTAGGCCTCCTTGCTTGCACACGCTTTTTTAGTTCTGCCCACACATTTTCTATAGGATTGAGGTCAGGGCTTTGTGATGGCCACTCCAATACCTTGACTTTGTTGTCCTTAAGCCATTTTGCCACGACTTTGGAAGTATGCTTGGGGTCATTGTCCATTTGGAAGACCCATTTGTGACCAAGCTTTAACTTCCTGACTGATGTCTTGAGATGTTGCTTCAATATATCCACATAATTTTCCTTCCTCATGATGCCATCTATTTTGTGAAGTGCACCAGTCCCTCCTGCAGCAAAGCACCCGCACAGCATGATGCTGCCACCCCTTTGCTTCACGGTTGGGATGGTGTTCTTCGGCTTGCAAGCAACCCCCTTTTTCCTCGAAACATAACAATGGTCATTATGGCCAAACAGTTCTATTTTTGTTTAATCAGACCAGAGGACATTTCTCCAAAAAGTACGATCTTTGTCCCCATGTGCAGTTGCAAACCGTAGTCTGGCTTTTTTATGGCGGTTTTGGAGCAGTGGCTTCTTCCTTGCTGAGCGGCCTTTCAGGTTATGTCGATATAGGACTCGTTTTACTGTGGATATAGATACTTTTGTACCTGTTTCCTCCAGCATCTTCACAAGGTCTTTTGCTGTTGTTCTTGGATTGATTTGCACTTTTCGCACAAAAGTACGTTCATCTCTAGGAGACAGAACGCATCTCCTTCCTGAGCGGTATGACGGCTGCGTGGTCCCATTGTGTTTATACTTGCGTACTATTGTTTGTACAGATGAACGTGGTACCTTCAGGCTTTTGAAAATTGCTCCCAAGGATGAACCAGTCTTGTGGAGGTATACAAATTTTTTCTGAGGTCTTGGCTGATTTCTTTGGATTTTCCCATGATGTGAAGCAAAGAGGCACTGAGTTTGAAGGTAGGCCTTGAAATACATCCACAGGTACACCTCCAATTGACTCAAATTACGTCAATTAGCCTATCAGAAGCTTCTAAAGCCATGACATCATTTTCTGGAATTTTCAAGCTGTTTAAAGGCCCAGTCAATTTAGTGTATGTAAACCTCTTACCCACTGGAATTGTGATACAGTGAACTATAAGTGAAATAATCTGTCTGTAAACAATTGTTGGAAAAATTACTTGTGTCATGCACAAAGTAGATGTCCTAACCGACTTGCCAAAACTATAGTTTGTTAACAAGAAATTTGTGGAGTGGTTGAAAAACTAGTTTTAATGACTCCAACCTAAGTGTATGTAAACTTCCAACTTCAATTGTATGTGTCTGACTGGTCTGTATACCTGTCTCTCTGTAGATGTTTATGTCTGACTGGACTCTCTTCCCTGTCCGTAGCTGTGTATGAGCTGTGAGGACAACACAGAGACTACAGGTTTCTGTGTGGACTGTGTGGAGTTCATGTGTGCCACCTGCGTGGAGGCCCACCAGAGGGTCAAGTTCACCAAAGACCACACCATCAGACAAAAGGGGGATGTGTCTCAAGGTACAGTACAGCTTCCTGTCTGACTGTGGCAGCAACGATTGTCAAGGAAATACCTACAACAACCAGAAACTGTATTTACATTATATTATTGTTGATTCAATGAAAATAAAGTTCACATCCTCCTATACAGTACAAAAAGCCTGAGATGAATTGCATACCTGTACAGTACCTGAAAGATCGGAATTGATTACAGTAAGATTAACTTCTGGCTTTTAAATGCTTTCCTATTGGTTTTCCAGAGTCTGTGGGTGTTTCCACTCAGAGGCCAGTGTTCTGTGAAATCCACAAGCAGGAGCCCCTGAAGCTGTTCTGTGAGACCTGTGATCTACCAACCTGTCGAGACTGTCAGCTACTCAAGCATAAGGACCACAAGTACTGAATACTGATGAGCCCCTATTGATTTTAAAAATCTATATATCTAAAAGCACATTTTTGTTTGAATGAAATGTGCTATTTAAATAAATATTGATTTTATATACAGTGGGGGAAAAAAGTATTTAGTCAGCCACCAATTGTGCAAGTTCTCCCACTTAAAAATATGAGAGAGGCCTGTAATTTTCATCATAGGTACACGTCAACTATGACAGACAAAATTTGGAAAAAAAATCCAGAAAATCACATTGTAGGATTTTTAATGAATTTATTTGCAAATTATGGTGGAAAATAAGTATTTGGTCAATAACAAAAGTTTCTCAATACTTTGTTATATACCCTTTGTTGGCAATGACACAGGTCAAACGTTTTCTGTAAGTCTTCACAAGGTTTTCACACACTGTTGCTGGTATTTTGGCCCATTCCTCCATGCAGATCTCCTCTAGAGCAGTGATGTTTTGGGGCTGTCGCTGGGCAACACTGACTTTCAACTCCCTCCAAAGATTTTCTATGGGGTTGAGATCTGGAGACTGGCTAGGCCACTCCAGGACCTTGAAATGCTTCTTACGAAGCCACTCCTTCGTTGCCCGGGCGGTGTGTTTGGGATCATTGTCATGCTGAAAGACCCAGCCACGTTTCATCTTCAATGCCCTTGCTGATGGAAGGAGGTTTTCACTCAAAATCTCACGATACATGGCCCCATTCATTCTTTCCTTTACACGGATCAGTCGTCCTGGTCCCTTTGCAGAAAAACAGCCCCAAAGCATGATGTTTCCACCCCCATGCTTCACAGTAGGTATGGTGTTCTTTGGATGCAACTCAGCATTCTTTGTCCTCCAAACACGACGAGTTGAGTTTTTACCAAAAATATATATTTTGGTTTCATCTGACCATATGACATTCTCCCAATCCTCTTCTGGATCATCCAAATGCACTCTAGCAAACTTCAGATGGGCCTGGACATGTACTGGCTTAAGCAGGGGGACACGTCTTGCACTGCAGGATTTGAGTCCCTGGCGGCATAGTGTGTTACTGATGGTAGGCTTTGTTACTTTGGTCCCAGCTCTCTGCAGGTCATTCACTAGGTCCCCCCGTGTGGTTCTGGGATTTTTGCTCACCGTTCTTGTGATCATTTTGACCCAACGGGGTGAGATCTTGCGTGGAGCTCCAGATCGAGGGAGATTATCAGTGGTCTTGTATGTCTTCCATTTCCTAATAATTGCTCCCACAGTTGATTTCTTCAAACCAAGCTGCTTACCTATTGCAGATTCAGTCTTCCCAGCCTGGTGCAGGTCTACCATTTTGTTTCTGGTGTCCTTTGACAGATCTTTGGTCTTGGCCATAGTGGAGTTTGGAGTGTGACTGTTTGAGGTTGTGGACAGGTGTCTTTTATACTGATAACAAGTTCAAACAGGTGCCATTAATACAGGTAACGAGTGGAGGACAGAGGAGCCTCTTAAAGAAGAAGTTACAGGTCTGTGAGAGCCAGAAATATTGCTTGTTTGTAGGTGATCAAATACTTATTTTCCACCATAATTTGCAAATAAATTCATAAAAAATCCTACATAGTTGACGTGTACCTATGATGAAAAATACAGGCCTCTCTCATCTTTTTAAGTGGGAGAACTTGCACAATTGGTGGCTGACTAAATACTTTTTTCCCCCACTCTATTAATTGATTGATTGATTGATTGTGACTAAAGCTGTTCAATATTCAAGTTGATTTCAATTATTTTGTAACAACGAATTAGCTAACTATGGTATGTTACTTAGTTACCAGTTTCTGGAGGATGCCTATAAGAATCACAAACATTACATGGAGGATATGAATCGTCAGCTGCAGGAAAAAAAGAAGGTCATCGAAGATGTGTCAAACTCCATAAACAATGGGTACAATATGCATTTTATTTTGCATCTGAGAATCTCTATGCTTGCTGTATATGTACAAAATGTATAGTGAAATGGGAACACTATGTCCTTCCATCGCAAATTCAAATACATTTTTTGTTTAGTAAGATGAATTTGTTCATGTCTTTCATGTTTCTCAGACTCCTTCAAGTTGATGAGAACCGCATATCAGTTCACAATGAAATCAAGAAGTCGATCTGTAGTTTGATACTAGAGATCAACAGAAAGGGAAAGATTCTTGTCAATCAGCTTGAGGTACAGTATGATCATAATCACATCTCTAACATTATGATGATTCTGTATATTCTCATGTTTCCATAGGTAGGCCGACTAGGATTTGTCAGGTTTCTTTGTATTCATTATGAGTGCAGAGAGTAGGAGGAAATGGAAAGGCCTGCAAATGTTTTGATTGTCATGACAGGAGCTTACCCTGAAGGCAGTGTTGAAATGCCACAGATTCTGGGAAAAGGCTATACGGACACTCCTGACCAGCAAAACGATATTTAATTCCAGAATTGGTTAAATTAGGTTAAGGTTTGGTTAAAGTAGGGGTCAGTTTTAGATTTTGGTTAGTTGTTTTAGAGGTCAGGAGTGTCTTTAGAGCCTCTCCCCAGATTCTGACTTCTCCATTTATTTCCTATCCCCTGAAGGGCCTGACAAAGGATCATGAGAGCGGTCTGAAGAAGCAGAAGGAGGATATTGGCTATCTGTCCAGACACCTGGATCACGTGATCAACTTCACAAAATGGGCGACAGCTAGGAACGGTGGCACAGCTCTCCTGTACTGCAAACGTTTGGTAAGGCCTCTCTCCCGTACACTCCCTCAGCCTCCATCCACAGGCTCCAAGGCTTCCACTATCCCTAAAGCCAGACAGGAGCCCATGGTGTAAAGCATTGATGAAATGCAGAACATATGCCTTGTGTTTTCTCAGCGTTTCTCCAAATTATTAATAACATCCCTTCTGCTGCAGATTCTGTTTCAGATCGGAAACCTCCTGCGGGCTAAATGCAATACCTCGTTTGTACCGCAGAGCACTGTGCGTTTCCAGTGTCGATCAGGCTTCTGGGCTTCAAATGTCGATCTGGGTAAGCGAGAAAGCTCAATGAGAGTGGCTACACTGAAATCTTACAATTCTATTTCATTGAAACATTTAAATTGCAGTGTTTTATGTTGGGGGAGAACATTATCTGTTGGACAGGGAGAAATAGTAGTAGTAGTAGTAGTTCTTGTAGTGGTAGTAAATTAGTATTTGCAGTGTGCACTAATGGTGGTAGTAGTAGTATTGTAATAATCTTAGTAATACTGGATGGGTTTGGTATGGCGCAGTTTGTTCTTGAAATAAAAGATAGGTACCAGGTCAGTGTATTAGCTCTTTCGTTATGCATGTTATGCTGAAGCCGACTCTCTCTTCCTGTTCCCTCAGGCTCATTAGTGGTGGAGAATGTCCCAGGCCCCCAGCTGGGCGGCTTTCAGGGCATCCCTCATCAACTCCCCCATCCTGGGCAGGGCCCCTCAGGCTCCCCCAACAGCCTGCCCCCAGGCCTCTCCCAGCCCCGCCTGCCCCCCCACAACCACAACACCCTGGCTCAGCTCCAGATGCAGGTGGAGAAACTAGCCCAGCAGCCCCACTGGCAGCCCCAGACCCCACCCTGGGCCTGGTACCAGAGCATGCGGCTCCAGAGACCCCCTCCAGGGCCCCTCCAGGGTGGCTCTCCCTCCCAGATTCTCCCCCCCATGCCCCAGCAGGGCCGGAGGTTCATTGCCCCCCCTGCAATCCATCTCAGTCCCACCAGCACCCTGCCAAGCCCTGGATATCCGCCCCAGGTGGGAAAGAGTGTGCTCGTCTGTGCGTGTGTCAGTTTGATTGACAGGGATTCTTAACAGGCGCAGACAGTGGATGACGTCGTCCCAAATGGAGCAGACAGCCTTCACATCCTGGGCAATTTATGTCTTGACTTGTCAAGATCAGTTTGAATCATATGAATAAAAAACATGGATATAAAAAAGGGCTAAATCTCCAAGTGCAGCTGCTCACATGTGATACAGAACAGGCCCAAAGCCTCCAGAGATGATGATAGATATGTCTTGTCTACAGTGTTTAGTCTGGGGCTAAGGCTGTTTTATACTAGCTCTAAAATACAGGCAAATCAAGAGGACAATCCACTGCCTGTAGATTTCAGACAAGAGTTGCGTCATGGTTGATGTGAACAAGCTGTTGAGGTGGAGCCTTGAAGCACTGTTCTTTATAACAGAGCCACGTTATAGATCATTTATACACTAGGCCTTGTGTTTAGTTTGACTTTATAATGTGTCATCACTGTTGAATTATATACAGTGTCAGGAGGGAATGGTTGAAATAGGCTATTTACGTCAGGGCAATGTCTAGTCTCATTATTTCATGAGTACATTTCTGACAAAATAGTGTATCACATCTTTAGTTATATAACCCTTATCATATTGTCTGTGGAACTCAAAATTCCAGTTTCTATGCATTTTCTCCCCAAAGTAAAAACTGTTCACCATTGGCTGTTGCACCTGCAGGCTTGGACCTAGACCAAAACAAAGAAGGCTGTTTCAAAACAAAGTGCTTAAGCAAAGCGTTCTGGAACATTCACAAGTGGCTTGTTTGTGTTCCGTCTTCTGTTCTGCTCTGTGTTGTGAAAGCCAGGGGCTCCTATCCTAGACATAACCAATCACAGGCTACTATCCCAGACATAACCAATCACAGACTGACGACACACCATTTCATCTGTCTGTCACCACCATCGACTCATAAGAAGAGATATGACATTTATTGTTGATGGAATTGCTCTGTCTGACTCTGTCTCCAACTGTATGTCTGTCTCACTCACAGGCTGTCCAATCACTGAGAGGCCTGGTGAGCAGCCCCAGCAGCTATGCACTCAAACACATGGATGTATTCAACCCAATGCCTCACTTCTCCCACAATGCACCACTGCCTAGCAACGGCAGCCTCAGTTCTCCTCACTCACGACAGCAGCAGGTACATACAGCTGCGCTCAAATATACTGGCACCCTTGCACTTTACAATGGAGTGCAATGGAGCAGAATGTTCTGTTTTCTCTATTCAAAACTGAGTTGAATGGCTATTTTTACCCTGTAGGCACCTGCCACTTACCTCAGGTGAGATAAATTCCACAGTAAAGCACAATCACCTGCCTCCAACCTATTCATTTGAATTCCGAAAAATGTAGTCCAGGCAATTGTATTTTATTTGAATTGAAAAATCTAAATGTCAGTTTAGATAATTTTTGGGGGGTCATGTGCAGGTGTAAATCAAACATATACACGTGAAGAACACCAAACATTTTCTCAATTTAAATGTATTTGAGAAGAAATAGTGAATCATGCAAGGGTGCCAGTATATTTTAGCGTAACTGTAGCTCCAATTCACATCCACATATCAATCTGTAACATTATGTTGTTAAGAATCAGAATGTTAGCAGTTTAATTGATGTAGTGAAATCTTTAGATGGAGTCTGCATATCACAACAAGCACCCTGGAGGCCCTGTCCAGATAATAAGACCCAACTTCCCTCAGACCCTACCAGCTTCCCTCCCATACAGAACTGGTATGTATTGGTGTTGTGTACTACTCTACTAATACTACACAACGAAATATAAGAAAACACATACAATACTTCTTGTATATATGACATGGGATGGAACTTCAGGATTTTGGGCACTGTCCAGCCGGGCTAGTAGACATCAATGTTTACTAGCCCGGGTTCAAAATCTATTCTATGGGATATTTGAAAAGACAAAACTTTCACTAGTCAGCGGGCTAGTTTGGCACATTTTCTACTAGCCCGGTCTGAAAAGTACTAGCCACGGTCAAGCAGGCTAGCTTAACTTCCATCCCTGTATAAGACGTATGAGGAATACAATTTATCTTCCTTTAGCACAAGGACACCATCATGCAGGACTAACTGCTATATCCTGTGAGGAGAAACCAGGGTAAGATGATGATTTCTCATTCTTCATGAATTCTATACAGGCATGACATTTTGATTTAAAAAATAATAATAATCTCCAATGTGCCATTCTTTCAATTTCTCTTTCTCTCACCTTCCTTCTGATTGGCTGATTGAAGGACTGTTTCCTGGAAACCTCTTGAGATGCAGCAGAAGGCGTATGGAGCTGGGGGATCAGCTGCCAAGAGGAGACGAAGGTCATCGCCTGGACCCATCATCATCATCAAAGACGAGCCAGAGGACGACATCAGCTGTGTAAGAGGACAGATGGATGGACTGGAAATAAACTAATGATAATGATTACATGTACATCTTATTGCATGTGTTACTTGAAATGGTATGGGTGATTTATTTGTCTTTGAGCCACAGTATTTTTAGATGGTAACAGCACAGTAATGATATACTGTGATGTCATTATAGTGTTCAATGCCAGGATTGCTGTTGGGTGATCCCTGAGAGGTCACTGTTCTGTTTTTGAGTGTTCTGTTAAGTATGCGTGTTTGTTTGTGTGTTTCAGGTACAGAGTAACCTGAGACCCAACCTCCCAGACAGCAGCACGGGGATACAGGCCCAAACCTGTCGGCAAGATAGAGGGGAACAACAAGTTCAGATTTCTCCTCAGAGCACAGAGGAAAAGGCCCAGACCCCACCACAGCCTCCACGGCCGTCAGGGGACCCGAGTCAAGCCCCACAGCAGAGCCACTCTCTGGGGGCAGAGCAGCAGCTAGGCAGTCGGGGCCCAGCTCCAGAGGAGGACCCTAATGAGGATTGGTGTGCTGTGTGTCAGAATGGAGGAGAGCTGCTGCTGTGTTGTGACAAGTGTCCCAAAGTCTTCCACCTCTCCTGCCACATCCCCACCCTCCTCAGATTACCCAGGTACTGTAGGCCCTAGGACAGAGGTGGATAATCTTACTCTTGGTGGGCCCGAGTGGGTGCAGGCATTTTGCTACAGCCAAGCAGGAACACACATGATTCTACAGACAATGATTAGTAGAATCGGGTGTGTTTCTGCTTGGTTGGAGCAAAAGCTTGCACTCACATCGGCCCTCACTGGGTGAGATTACCTATTGTACCTAATGCACTGCCTTTAAATGGGATTAAATTAAATGGATTGGTTATCTGAAATAGATGCTGTAATGTTGTTATTACACTCTAGTTTCTATTGGCCTGCTGATGTTTTTCTTTCAGTGGGGAGTGGTTCTGCTCATTCTGCCGTGACCTGTCAGTGCCTGAGGTGGTGTATGACTGTGACATCAGCAGATTAGAACCCAGAACAGTGAAGGAGGAACCAGACTCTGAGGGAGGATTCTGCCCTGTGGACAAAAGGGTCAGTATTGTACTTTACTGTACTTTAAAGAGACAATAATTTATCAGGCCTACCTGAGGTGTTTATCTCTGTATAAAGTGTTAATGTAATCTTATTACAATACATCAGCTCTGGGGTTGATGTAATGTAAAGGTGTGTTGTATTTCTCTCTCTCTCTCTGCAGAAATGTGAGAGACTGTTGCTGAAGATGTACTGCAGTGAGCTCAGTGCTGACTTCCAGGAGGCTAGATCCCCCTTGGTGAGTGGAGAGGCTAATGCCCAATCCCAGGCAAGATCACCCTTGGTGAGTGAAGAGGCTAATGCCCAATCCCAGGCAAGATCCCCCTTGGTGAGTGGAGAGACTAATGCCCAATCCCAGGCAAGATCCCCCTTGGTGAGTGGAGAGACTAATGCCCAATCCCAGGCAAGATCCCCCTTGGTGAGTGGAGAGACTAATGCCCAATCCCAGGCAAGATCCCCCTTGGTGAGTGGAGAGACTAATGCCCAATCCCAGGCAAGATCCCCCTTGGTGAGTGGAGAGGCTAATGCCCAATCACAAAAAGTAACTCCTTACCTTTACATCCATGTGGAGATAATAATAATATAATAATAATATGCCATTTAGCAGACGCTTTTATCCAAAGCGACTTACAGTCATGCGTGCATACATTTTTTGTGTATGGGTGGTCCCGGGGATCGAACCCACTACCTTGGCGTTACAAGCGCCGTGCTCTACCAGCTGAGCTACAGAGGAGATGTGAGAATTGAATAGGTACAGATTTAGGATCTTAATTTGATCACTCTTTTGTTGTTAATAATTTTCCTGCACCGCATGAAATGCAGATGAGCTTCATGATTTACATAAATTCACTGAAAACCCACACTAACACACGGTTACAGTGTATTCGGAAAGTATTCAGACCCCTTGACTTTTTCCACATTTTGTTACTTTACAGCCTTATTCCAAAATTTATTAAATTATTTTTTTCCCTCATCAATCTACAAACAATAATGACAAAGCGAAAACAGGTTTTTTGACATTTTTGCAAATGTATAAAAAATAAAAAACTGAAATACCTTATTTACATAAGTATTCAGACCCTTTGCTATGAGACTCGAAATTGAGCTCAGGCATCCTGTTTCCATTGATCATCCTTGAGATGTTTCTACAACTTGATTGGAGTCCACCTGTGGTAAATTCAATTAATTGGACATGATTTGGAAAGGCACACACCTGTCTATATAAGGTCCCACAGTTGACAGTGCATGTCAGAGCAAAAACCAAGCCATGAGGTCGAATGAATTGTCCGTAGAGCTCCGAGACAGGATTGTGTCGAGGCACAGATCTGGGGAAGGGTACCAAAAAATGTCTGCAGCATTGAACGTCCCCAAGACCACAGTGGCCTCCATCATTCTTAAATCGAAGATGTTTGGAACCACCAATATTCTTCTTAGAGCTGGCTGCCTGGCCAAACTGAGCAATCAGGGGAGAAGGGCCTTGGTCAGGGAGGTGACCAAGAACCCGATGGTCACTCTGACAGAGTTCCAGAATTCCTCTGTGGAGATTGTAGAACCTTCCAGAAGGACAACCATCTCTGCAGCACTCCACCAATCAGGCCTTTATGGTAGAGTGTCCAGAAGCCACTCCTCAGTAAAAGGCACATGACAGCCCACTTGGAGGTTGCCAAAAGGCACCTAAAGACTCTCAGACCATGAGACACAAGATTCTCTGGTTTGATGAAACCAAGATTGAACTCTTTGGCCTGAGTGCCAAGTGTCATGTCTGGAGGAAACCTGGCACCATCCCTACGGTGAAGCATGGTGGTGGCAGCATCATGCTGTGGGGATGTTTTTTAGCGGCTGGGACTGGGAGACTAGTCAGGATCGAGGGAAAGATGAACGGAGCAAAGTACAGAAAGATCCTTGATGAAATTCTGCTCCAGAGCGCTCAGGACCTCAGACTGGGGTGAAGGTTCACCTTCCAACAGGACAACGACCCTAAGCACACAGCCAAGACAATGCAGGAGTGGCTTCGGGACAAGTCTCTGAATGTCCTTGAGTGGCCCAGCCAGAGCCCAGACTTGAACCCAATCAAACATCTCTGGAGAGACCTGAAAATAGCTATGCAGCGACGCTCCCCATCCAACCTGACAGAGCTTGAGAGGATCTGCAGAGAAGAATGGGAGAAATTCCCCAAATACAGGTGTGCCAAGCTTGTAGCGTCATACCCAAGAAGAATCGAGACTGTAATCACTGCCAAAGGTGCTTCAACAAAGTACTGAGTAAAGGGGCTGAATACTTATGTAAATGTAATATCTTAGTTATTTATTTTGTAAAAATGTGCTAAAAAAATCTAAAAACCTGTTTTTGCTTTGTCATTATGGGGTATTGTGTGTAGATTGATGAGGAAATAAAACAAGTTAATCAATTTTAGAATAAGGCTGTAAAGTAACAAAATGTGGAAAAAGTCAAGAGGTCTGAATACTAACCACCGATCAAGCAACATTATGGACTAAACGTTTAAATCCTGTTGCTCCAGGATTATTTTACTGTGGCAATATAGGTCAAATTAAGATCCAACATCTGTATAATAATATAATAATATGCCATTTAGCAGACGCTTTTATCCAAAGCGACTTACAGTCATGCGTGCATACATTATTTTTATTTTTTTTGTGTATGGGTGGTCCCGGGGATCGAACCCACTACCTTGGCGTTACAAGCGCCGTGCTCCACCTTGCTCTTTGGCCGCTTATTCCGATAAAAGTCTCTCAGTGCATAGGCCAGGGGGTAGGTGCTCAGGGTTGATTTGTGATTGGGCAAGAGGGGCAGCCACAGCAGCACACTGACAACACAGGGCCTGGCCCCACCTTAACCAATCAAACGCAGGGAAAAAAACATCCTAGGATAAAATCACATACTGAGCAGTGTTTCACCTAGGATTTTTTTCAGCAAAGGTAGTGGGGTGGGGCATGCCCCCCGGGAATTTTTGTTTGTACAACAACTGTGAGAAGGTGACTTTTTAAAAGGGCATTCTACTCCAAAATGAATGAAATTTGAATTATGCTGACACCATCTGAAATATTATTTCCCCTTTAAAAGCATTATAACCTGTAGCCTAACTGATGCAGCATAGCGGCTTTAAATACATCGGCTGAATCACGGGGTTTCCCATCTGCATTTACCTAATTGAAAACCCCCAAAAGACTCTGAATGCATCAAATGCTACAAATATAAATGTTGTAACTTGTCACTGTGATCTTAAAAACGCATCTCGGTAGAAATATTACATTTTTTGTAATCATATTTTTGGATTGGCGCTGCTAAATGAATATAGGGGAAACACTGACATAGGCTTACCGTTACTGTACTTAAAGATGTCTATTGGTCAATACAGAGAGGTTATGAGAGGCCTGTTTTTGGATTGAAATGTCTCCTTGGTTTATCATCCACTTTATAGCCATGAAAAGGGACATTGAGAGAAACACTTTTTATAGTTTTGTATATTGTGATAGCCTCTGTATTTTTCTGTAGATAATGCCAGAGAACCAGCAGACCCCAAAGACGCCGATGGTTCTGTCCATTGTGAAGAGCAAGCTGGAATCCAGGCAGAGCCCCTGCTACCAGACACCTGCTGAGTTTGTATCAGACATCCGACTCATCTTCAGGAATATTGCAGCATTCAATGAGGTAGACTAGACGGCACTAACGCTCTCCAGAAGAGGCCTCTTGCCTTAGTTTACACAGATGGGTTAATTACTCTGTTAATGTGTGTGGATGGACTGTTTTTACAATGTTTCTGTCATTTACATGTTAGTTTTAGCAGACACTCTTATCCAGAATGAGTTAGGAGGTAAAACAACCACATACATCTGTTGTCTCTTTTCTCCCATGCCAGGCTGACACTGAGGTTGCCACTGCAGGGAGAAACCTGGAGAGGTTCTTTGAGGAGCAGCTGAAGTTCCTCTACCCTGAGCGGATGTTTCCAGAGGTCAAGTCTGAGGTCATCAGTCCTGTGACCCCTCCCGTCTCTCCTCCCCCTCCCACAACCCCTGATGAGGAGAGCTCCCAGCATGCAAAGCATCAGCGCAGGTGCTCTGAGACCCAGGAGGTGTGTACTCCTACTCCTGCTCAGCTAAACTCACCAAAGGGAGAGGAAGAGACCGTATGAGTGCACACATCGTCATTTCATCGACTTTTATCAGTCAATAACACTGCCAGTACTAGCCTATACTAGTAATGAATATTATCCTCTGAGAAAGTCAGACTTTCTTAGACGTGCCAAAATACTCCCTCCATGTTCTGTGATCGAATCATTTTGCACAAAAGAACAGTGAAGCAGGGTACCAAAACCCTCTCCTCCTTCTACTATACCTGGTTTAGACTGGTTTAGACTGATTTAGACTGGTTTACATTAATGCTGTACTAATACAGTGTTGCTATGACTAAAGAACCTGAGTATCAAATATGAAAACAGAAAAATAAGGTGTTAGATAATCCAGCAGCCTGTGTGGATCTGGTTCTTGTAACATGGTTTGCGTATCTTCTGGGGAATAAGAACTGTGACGAGGTTAATCCAGGTTGGTAAAGTGAAAACACGTCAAAGGTATCAAACCAGCCTGATAAAACATAAGACTATTTCAGTTGTTATTGCAAGACTGTATGAAGTGTTAGTTTCATGAACATGTCAGCTGTGCGAGGTCTAGTTGTTCAGGCCTACAGTAGCCTTGACTCTAGTTCTAGTTTACAGTGTGATGGCTGGTAGCATGAGACAAGGCCTACTTTATTATTCTCAACAATAGAACTTTGTCTTTGTTCCATCATTGTTTTGTCATTTGTCAATGAGCCATTCAATATGTAATGTATTTCAATTTTACATTGTTGTAGTGATTTTTATGCAGTATATGTAAATACTTACGATGATCATTGATTTAAACCAGGCAAGTAAAGATTCAACAAAATGTGTTTTGTTTCTCATGCAGTCCCAAATAACCTCTCGTTTGCCATGTTTTCTCATGACTTCAGACCATAGCTACTTCTGAAAACCAAAATATTTTATTCATAAAAAATACTTGCAGCTGTTTACAGGGTAAAATAAACAATGTCCAATATCTTACTTTATGATTCTTATTGCTGTTTGGTGTCTACATGGTATTCATTCAGAATTTACAGTAAGACATGTTTTCTGGGGTGAAGGAAATGTAATATATTGGTGATGAATAGGTCTATCACAGTGTGAATAGTTTAATAAAGGGATAATAGCTAATTCTCTATAAGTGAACTGTAGTAATTAATCATGACATGAGGCCCCAAAGGGCAGGCCCAGATAACCTACAGTACAGGACATGTTAGTGGCCCAATGCTGGGTGACATGGAGAGTGCAAGACAAGTCGGGTTGTGCTTCAAAAGGACTTCAGTGCCCTCTAGAAGATTAGCACCATTTAAAATTGATCTCAGCCACTCTAATTTCCTCTACCTAAGAGCTCTGAGTTTGCCCTGAGCTGCTGTTTCTCGTTAAAGGGTAAAAAGGAGAGGGGAGGGGAAAGTGGGGTGTGTGTGACCTCTGGTCTCTTGGCCCTCCCACCCCTACCGGAGGGCAGCTCCCGCTCAACCCAGTCAAAGCTCTTCTCTGTCCTGGCACCCCAATGGTGGAACAAGCTTCCCCCTAATGTCAGGACAGCAGAGTCCCTGCTCATCTTCCGAAAACATGAAACCCTACCTGTTTGAATAGTATCTCAAATAAATCCTAAGCATCTGGGTTTGAGTCTGGTCCTCCTCACAAGGCATCCTTTTATGGCCATATCTTTACACTGGTCCTGTGTTCCTACCCCACCCCACACACATGAACCCAGACAGGAGATAAGATAAGGATATATACCAACAGTATAAGTGTTGCCTTCTGGTTGATATCTAAAGATGAAGGTTGTTTTTGCTCTACTTTCCAATGCCGCCACAGCCAAGTGATGTGAATGCAGTCTGTGGAAACGTGATACTCTTATTGTGTAACAGTGCATCCTAAACTTGCCTCTATATTTTGCCACTCCTGTCTAAGATAATTGTTTAGAAGTAATTGTTTTACAAGGTGACAGTACTGGTGTATTTTTCTCTAAAAAGTTGCCAGGATGCACTTAGTTGACACTTGCAACTCTCCTCATTTCAGCAAGGGTACATGGCATTTCTATAGTAACTAGCCTTAGCAGCACAGGGAGGCCCATCCAATAGAGTGCTAGTATTAGCCATGCATGGCCACTCAGAGATGTTTCTAGCGGGGGGACGACGACACATGGCTGTGATTAGAGGATTGTTTACTCTTGGCTCTCTCACCATGCATACCCAAAGCCAGACTGATTGAATTTGCAGAAAACCTTAGTTTGGTATAAAAGGTTTATAATGCCATCTATCAATTATTTACCTCCTTGCAAATCTTGGCACACGGCAGAGGGTGTGTGTGTGTGTGTGTGTGTGTGTGTGTGTGTGTGTGTGTGTTCGCGCGCACGCGCTTGTGAGTAGCTTTCAAAGGGATGTCTGATTGTGCCCTTTAACAGTTTGAGAAACCTGATGAGTGGTTAATCAAGTGCCCATGGCAAATAATTAGTCATTCAGAAAATGTGTGGTGAACACAAACTTATGAAAAGCCTCTGTCGCATTTACATGTTATGATTTTTAGCATGTAAACTAATCAACTAAACTGTTATCGAACAGTAGCCTAACACTGGCAGTTCAGGTCGAGAGGAAATGGTCCATATACAGTGGGGGGAAAAAGTATTTAGTCAGCCACCAATTGTGCAAGTTCTCCCACTTAAAAAGATGAGAGAGGCCTGTAATTTTCATCATAGGTACACGTCAACTATGACAGACAAAATGAGAAAAAAAGATCCAGAAAATCACATTGTAGGATTTTTAATGAATTTATTTGCAAATTATGGTGGAAAATAAGTATTTGGTCAATAACAAAAGTTTCTCAATACTTTGTTATATACCCTTTGTTGGCAATGACACAGGTCAAACGTTTTCTGTAAGTCTTCACAAGGTTTTCACACACTGTTGCTGGTATTTTGGCCCATTCCTCCATGCAGATCTCCTCTAGAGCAGTGATGTTTTGGGGCTGTCGCTGGGCAACACGGACTTTCAACTCCCTCCAAAGATGTTCTATGGGGTTGAGATCTGGAGACTGGCTAGGCCACTCCAGGACCTTGAAATGCTTCTTACGAAGCCACTCCTTCGTTGCCCGGGCGGTGTGTTTGGGATCATTGTCATGCTGAAAGACCCAGCCACGTTTCATCTTCAATGCCCTTGCTGATGGAAGGAGGTTTTCACTCAAAATCTCACGATACATGGCCCCATTCATTCTTTCCTTTACACGGATCAGTCGTCCTGGTCCCTTTGCAGAAAAACAGCCCCAAAGCATGATGTTTCCACCCCCATGCTTCACAGTAGGTATGGTGTTCTTTAGATGCAACTCAGCATTCTTTGTCCTCCAAACACGACGAGTTAAGTTTTTACCAAAAAGTTCTATTTTTGGTTTCATCTGACCATATGACATTCTCCCAATCCTCTTCTGGATCATCCAAATGCACTCTAGCAAACTTCAGACGGGCCTGGACATGTACTGGCTTAAGCAGGGGGTCACGTCTGGCACTGCAGGATTTGAGTCCCTGGCGGCGTAGTGTGTTACTGATGGTAAGCTTTGTTACTTTGGTCCCAGCTCTCTGCAGGTCATTCACTAGGTCCCCCAGTGTGGTTCTGGGATTTTTGCTCACCGTTCTTGTGATCATTTTGACCCCACGGGGTGAGATCTTGCGTGGAACCCCAGATCGAGGGAGATTATCAGTGGTCTTGTATGTCTTCCATTTCCTAATAATTGCTCCCACAGTTGATTTCTTCAAACCAAGCTGCTTACCTATTGCAGATTCAGTCTTCCCAGCCTGGTGCAGGTCTACAATTTTGTTTCTGGTGTCCTTTGACAGCTCTTTGGTCTTGGCCATAGTGGAGTTTGGAGTGTGACTGTTTGAGGTTGTGGACAGGTGACTTTTATACTGATAACAAGTTCAAACAGGTGCCATTAATACAGGTAACGAGAGGAGGACAGAGGAGCCTCTTAAAGAATAAGTTACAGGTCTGTGAGAGCCAGAAATCTTGCTTGTTTGTAGGTGACCAAATACTTATTTTCCACCATAATTTGCAAATCAATTCATTAAAAATCCTACAATGTGATTTTCTGGAAAAAAAATTCTCAATTTGTCTGTCATAGTTGACATGTACCTATGATGAAAATTACAGGCCTCTCTCATCTTTTTAAGTGGGAGAACTTGCACAATTGGTGGCTGACTAAATACTTTTTTCCCCCACTGTATCTCTCCCACATCGGAATGTGCTTTGTTTCACCATTTGGTTATTCCCCCCCCCCCCACACACACACACACACACACGTCTGTCACAGTCTGAGAGGATGAAATAACATACGCTTCAATGAAATCTATCATTTTCCTTAGGAGCAATTTTGTGAACCTCAAATATCAAGTCTGTCTGCGGAGGAGGATGGTCGTAAATGTTGCAAAATATGGAATATGCATTAGAATTAGTTGTATTTATTTTTACCGACTAATTCAAAATATTTTATGTATTGCAGTCTGGACATGGCCACAACATATTTTTAGATAACCACAGAATCACTACGGAGTGGAGTCCAGGTCTTCTTCAGTAATCAGTGTGATCATTCTATCACAGACATACGTCTGAATTAAAGTAATCGAAGTTGGAGGACAGTGTCAATCAATGTCGCCATTACGTGTCGTATTATTCAGTCAGAAGAATACATTGATATTTAGGGCTACTTTAAATCTGTCAGTAGGCCTAGCTAATGGAAGTCAATAAAATGACTTGAATTAAATTAAATTGTGTCATAAGAACCTGGTAGTTAATAAGAGGAAGTATAATACTGTAATGTCTAAATCAATACTCTCCATTTAGGGTTTCTGAACTTTTATTTAAAAAGGTTTTGCTCGTCACTTGCGATGGCCCCAGCCCGCCCCTCTGAGCGAGATAATTAGATGCTCGTTCGGAGACAGTCACGCTGCGATTCATTCAGCCACATCACCCACACGCATACTCCTGCCCAGCGTGAGCTCACAGTCTGTCTACCTTTCGCTTGAAAATCTGCGTGTCCGTGAGAAACTGTGCTGTTGGTCCACACCTAAGGCAGAATACTACAGATCTGACTGTTGAACACTTTTTTTAGTTTAGCAAGAATCTCTCCTCCTTCCAATGGGTCCCGGGTTAGTTATACTTTTCTCTCTGTTTGGAGTTCTCAAAGGACAAGGTAAGTTACCTTTCTGCTTCAGGATAGTAGCCTACTGTGACAAGATGTAATTCTAACCATGAGAATCAATCCATGCCCATGCGTGATGTACCGCATACTGTATAGTCTCGGCTCATAATAATGGCTGGAATGGAGTATAATGGATGGAATGGAATGTTTTTGATACATTTACATTTACATTTTAGACACGCGACTTACAGTTAGTGAGTGCATACATTTTTCATTCTGGCCCCCCATTCCATTCACTCCATTCCAGCCATTATTATAAGCTGTCCTCCCCTCAGCAGCCTCCACTGGTATAGACATACAGTAGACTAACTACTCCTATAAGTACACACAGGCATGGTAGATATGTCAAGCTTAACACCTTACTGCAGTATCACTGTGTGGGCAGAGATGAGGTCGGGTACCACTGGAGATAACCAAATGTTCCATTAAGTTTTACATGTAATTTTATGAACACTTTATGTCAGTTATATTACAGTAAGATCATGTAGCCTACTGTGTCACATGCTGTTCAGTGTGTGTCATTTGATTTTGATTTGTGAGTGTGTGTGCCTTCTGTGTTTGTGTGTATCTTGCCAGTAAAACATCTGCACATGATTCCTAGCTTAAAGGATGGTTTCAACATTCGCAACTTGTCCTAAAGTGATTTGGCAGTGATGAAATGCATTGTGTGTAGTTTATAATATGGACTAATTTTGTTGGTAGAGATTGGTCAGACTACTGCCAGGACTAATATTTGTAATCGGTGAGAGGTCAGTATGCTATTTACATTTTAGTCATTTAGCAGACTCTCTTATCCAGAGGGACTTACAGGAGCAATTAGGGTTAAATGCCTTGCTCAAGGGCACATCGACAGATTTTTCAGCTAGTTGGCTCTGGGATTCAATCCAGCAACCTTTTGGTTACTGGCCCAATGCTCTAAATCGCTAGACTACCTGCCGCTCACAATATTACAGAAGGAAATTATTGCCCAAGCTCTAACAGTAACAAGGCTTTAAAGTTTAGAATACGCAGTATAGAGATGTGCTCAAGAGGCTTGCTGCTCAGCCAGCCAGCCAGACAGACGCAGGTCAGGTCTCTCCTTACACTATGACAGTGTGTCAAATGAGTCTGGAGGCACTTAAGCAGTACCCCACTGAGCGTTGGCTGGTCGGGGGGGAGGAGCTCTGATTTAGACCTTTAAAGGCCCCTCCAGGGGTCACAGAAGCATGAGACGACCCATATTAGGGTCCGCTGGACACACCTGGGGCCAATTCCACACATGGGGCCACTTTCACACGAGGCCACTTTCACACGAGGCCACTTTCACACGAGGCCACTTTCACAGCCTGCGGGGCTCCTGTCAGTGGTGTGCCTAAAAATTCTGGCCCTAGGAAAGAATTTGACATCACCCCATCTCCATTGAATTCAATGTAATTGGGAATGTCGCACAGGGGCTATACCCTCCCCCCAACACCTATCAGCACCCCTCGCTCCTCTTCTCAGCTTCCATGCTGTGCGGGAGAGAGTCAACGGTCAGGGTGTGGGTATCACTCCATTAGGTATGGGGTCAGTTTGGGGTATCACTCCATTAGGTACGGGGTCAGGGTGGGGTATCACTCCATTAGGTATGGGGTCAGTTTGGGGTATCACTCCATTAGGTACGGGGTCAGGGTGGGGTATCACTCCATTAGGTACGGGGTCAGGGTGGGGTATCACTCCATTAGGTACGGGGTCAGTTTGGGGTATCACTCCATTAGGTACGGGGTCAGTTTGGGGTATCACTCCATTAGGTATGGGGTCAGTTTGGGGTATCACTCCATTAGGTATGGGGTCAGGGTGGGGTATCACTCCATTAGGTATGGGGTAAGAGTGGGGTATCGCTCCATTAGGTATGGGGTCAGGGTGGGGTATCACTCCATTAGGTACGGGGTCAGGGTGGGGTATCACTCCATTAGGTATGGGGTCAGGGTGGGGTATCACTCCATTAGGTACGGGGTCAGGGTGGGGTATCACTCCATTAGGTATGGGGTCAGGGTGGGGTATCACTCCATTAGGTATGGGGTCAGTTTGGGGTATCACTCCATTAGGTACGGGGTCAGGGTGGGGTATCACTCCATTAGGTACGGGGTCAGTTTGGGGTATCACTCCATTAGGTATGGGGTCAGGGTGGGGTATCACTCCATTAGGTACGGGGTCAGGGTGGGTATCACTCCATTAGGTACGGGGTCAGGGTGGGTATCACTCCATTAGGTACGGGGTCAGGGTGGGGTATCACTCCATTAGGTTAGGGGTCAGTTTGGGGTATCACTCCATTAGGTACGGGGTCAGGGTGGGGTATCACGCCATTAGGTACGGGGTCAGGGTGGGGTATCACTCCATTAGGTATGGGGTCAGTTTGGGGTATCACTCCATTAGGTATGGGGTCAGGGTGGGTATCACTCCATTAGGTACGGGGTCAGGGTGGGGTATCACTCCATTAGGTATAGGGTCAGTTTGGGGTATCACTCCATTAGGTACGGGGTCAGGGTGGGGTATCACGCCATTAGGTACGGGGTCAGGGTGGGGTATCACTCCATTAGGTATGGGGTCAGTTTGGGGTATCACTCCATTAGGTATGGGGTCAGGGTGGGTATCACTCCATTAGGTACGGGGTCAGTTTGGGGTATCACTCCATTAGGTACGGGGTCAGTTTGGGGTATCACTCCATTAGGTACGGGGTCAGTTTGGGGTATCACTCCATTAGGTATGGGGTCAGTTTGGGGTATCACTCCATTAGGTACGGGGTCAGGGTGGGGTATCACTCCATTAGGTATAGGGTCAGTTTGGGGTATCACTCCATTAGGTACGGGGTCAGGGTGGGGTATCACGCCATTAGGTACGGGGTCAGGGTGGGGTATCACTCCATTAGGTATGGGGTCAGTTTGGGGTATCACTCCATTAGGTACGGGGTCAGGGTGGGGTATCACGCCATTAGGTACGGGGTCAGGGTGGGGTATCACGCCATTAGGTACGGGTCAGGGTGGGGTATCACTCCATTAGGTACGGGGTCAGGGTGGGGTATCACTCCATTAGGTACGGGGTCAGGGTGGGGTATCACGCCATTAGGTACGGGGTCAGTTTGGGGTATCACTCCATTAGGTACGGGGTCAGTTTGGGGTATCACTCCATTACGTACGGGTTCAGGGTGGGGTATCACGCCATTAGGTACGGGGTCAGGGTGGGGTATCACTCCATTAGGTACGGGGTCAGGGTGGGGTATCACGCCATTAGGTACGGGTCAGGGTGGGGTATCACTCCATTAGGTACGGGTCAGGTGGGGTATCACTCCATTAGGTACGGGTCAGGGTGGGGTGTATCACTCCATTAGGTACGGGTGTCAGGGTGGGGGTATCACTCATTAGTACGGGGTCAGGGTGGGGGTATCACTCCATTAGGTACGGGGGCATGGTTGGGGTATCACTCCATTAGGTAACGGGGTCAGGTTTGGGGTTCCTCACTCCATTAGGTACGGGGGTCAGGGGTTGGGGATCACCTCCATTAGGTTACCGGGGTCCAGGGTTGGTGGTTAATCACGCCATTAGGTACGTGGGTCAGTTTGGGGGTATCCACTCCATTAGGTACGGGGTCAGGTTGGGGTATCACTCCATTACGGTACGGGGGTTTGGGATCACTCCATTACGACGGGTAGGGGGGGTATCAGGCAGCCATTAGTTTACGGGGTCAGGGTGGGGTAATCACTCCATTAGGTACGGGGTCAAGGTGGGGTATCACTCCATTAGGTATGGGGTCAGTTTGGGGTATCACTCCATTAGGTACGGGGTCAGGGTGGGGTATCACTCCATTAGGTATAGGGTCAGTTTGGGGTATAACTCCATTAGGTTAGGGGTCAGGGTGGGGTATCACTCCATTAGGTATGGGGTCAGGGTGGGGTATCACTCCATTAGGTATGGGGTCAGGGTGGGGTATCACTCCATTAGGTACGGGGTCACTTTGGGGTATCACTCCATTAGGTATGGGGTCAGGGTGGTGTATCACTCCATTAGGTATGGGGTCAGGGTGGGGTATCACTCCATTAGGTACGGGGTCAGGGTGGGGTATCACTCCATTAGGTACGGGGTCAGTTTGGGGTATCACTCCATTAGGTACGGGGTCAGGGTGGGGTATCACTCCATTAGGTACGGGGTCAGTTTGGGGTATCACTCCATTACGTACGGGTTCAGGGTGGGGTATCACGCCATTAGGTACGGGGTCAGGGTGGGGTATCACTCCATTAGGTACGGGGTCAAGGTGGGGTATCACTCCATTAGGTATGGGGTCAGTTTGGGGTATCACTCCATTAGGTACGGGGTCAGGGTGGGGTATCACTCCATTAGGTATAGGGTCAGTTTGGGGTATAACTCCATTAGGTTAGGGGTCAGGGTGGGGTATCACTCCATTAGGTATGGGGTCAGGGTGGGGTATCACTCCATTAGGTATGGGGTCAGGGTGGGGTATCACTCCATTAGGTACGGGGTCACTTTGGGGTATCACTCCATTAGGTATGGGGTCAGGGTGGTGTATCACTCCATTAGGTATGGGGTCAGGGTGGGGTATCACTCCATTAGGTACGGGGTCAGGGTGGGGTATCACTCCATTAGGTACGGGGTCAGTTTGGGGTATCACTCCATTAGGTACGGGGTCAGGGTGGGGTATCACTCCATTAGGTACGGGGTCAGGGTAGACTGACTGAAGATCTGAAGCTGGCCCCATAGGAGCAGATTATGGAACATCCATGTACATTTATAAAAATTTTGTATCAGCTCAACCATCATAGACTCAACCATCAGCCAAAGACGTATTAGGTCGAGTGAAATGTGTCAATGACAGACTTTTGTGACAGGTGTCTACCTGCAATAATGATTAAAATTCTCAGTACTTATAAGGTAATTTGTGTCACTACGATGACAATAAGGTAAACTGACTAAAGTGTGTTAGATAAAGGATGTGGGCCATGGAAGTGGACTGTGCTGCTGCAATGTCTGGGTCTGTCTGATGTGCCATTGCTGTGGGCTGAGGCTGAGGGACTGGGGCTCCACTGAGCTCATCAAGCAGCATTTACATGAGGAGTCTAGACTTGGGCCAGCAATGTTCTCTCTCTCTCTCTCTCCCTCTCTCTCTCTCTCTCTCTCTCTCTCTCTCTCTCTCTCTCTCTCTCTCTCTCTCTCTCTCTCTCTCTCTCTCTCTCTCTTGCCAGACCCAGACCCAGACAGGAGTCATGACAGCCCACACCACGTTCCAAGATGGAAATCAGCCTTTTCTGCAGACAGACAATGCATCACGTGGACAGGCAGGGTAGACTGCTAGGTCTCCTCTCCTCTGCAACCGCTGGGTTGCCTCGTTTGATAAAATAATAGAGGGTAGATTACGCTCTGCTCATTCAATTAGTTGGGAAAGGGGGCAGGCTGCGGACTGCGGTGGCTGAGGAATGGTCCTGCCATGCACTGTGGGTTAGGATTAGTTATCAGTATAGAGTGGAGTGAGAAAACACCAGAACTGCAGGACGCGAGAGTCATGTGACCATCTCTTCCCGTCAGAAGAAACTGAGATTCTATGACATGCTCATGCTATGCCTCCTCTGAGCTGGGAAGGGAAGCTCATAGAGCTTTGTGCTTTGTGGGAGCTGGCAAGATGCATTCTGTTTTTGTGTGTGATCTTTCTAAAGACATACTGAGGGTTCCAGCTTCCAGGGTGTTTTGGCAAGGAGACGTCAGTTAATGCCAGTGGTAATGGTCAAGAAAAAGAAAAAAGGCCAGACCGGCCAAAACTGGCCTGGGGGGCAGCCGAGCAGGGAGAATTGTTTACCACAGTAGGTTTTGACCATTCCTACTATTCCCTGCTGTTCCAGCAAATGTATTTTCTTCACTTTTATATGCGTAACTTATTTTCACTCAATTTTTAACCTAAATCCAATGACATGGTGACATTTGTTGTTGATTTCTCGTTGAATTCACGTTAGTGAATGTAAATCAAAACGTTGAACTGACGTCTGTGCCCAGTGGGTTATGACTCAGTTAGGACATGGTGGGACGAGGAGCTCGACTGTTGCAGTTGTTAGTCTGGTTGGCCACAACAGGCTCGTTCAGTGAGTCAGCAAAATAGTGTTTATTGGCGTGGTAATGCATCTTGACTACCTAGTCTGTATTTGTTTGATGATACACTTTGCTCTTGATTTACAATGATATTGACTTTAAGTTTCTGCTTTTTGTGAATCTGCCCAAATTCACTTTCATATCCGTATCTCTCAAGGTCATTGTTGACAGTTATGTAATTTGCTTCACATAAATGACCATATTCTTTTTACATTAAGTTAATATATTCACACCTTTGGCCCCTATCTGTACTTCCCATATTCAAAGATATAAAACAAGTTCCCTCTGGCAGAAATAATTGGAACTCTAAATTGTTATTTTATTACTTTTTTATGGAACTATAAATTAAAGATGACACATCCAGACACTTGTCCTCCCTTAGTTGAAACTTCTGATCCTATTTTGTTGACTGGTCTACGAAGCTAGAATTAGAAGTTAGACATCTCTATGATCCTCTACGATGGCTGTTATTATTGTCAGTGGTTTTATTCACTATTATTCCTATAGTTTCGACTAGGCTACGAATCAACAACAGGTTTATTGGATGAACCAAGAGGACTTATATTGTTCTTTTGGAGGACTTATATTGATAGTACCAATATGGCAGGCAGAGGTTTGTTTATGCCTAAGGCAAGAAAGGACCAGCCAACCTGCCAGAGTTATTTCACGTTTGGCAAATCACGCTAACCACAAGGAGATTAATGTATTTGATCTGATTGCGATGGCTGAATTGTTTACAGAGTTGAGGCATTCCGAGCTCTTTAATCCACATGAAAAAAACAGACGGAGCGCCACAAAGTTGGTTCAGCTCCAGTCGTAAAGCCTCTCTTATTTCTACACAACATATCCATCATTCAGTATCGCTGGCAAAATGCTTATGGGCATTTAAAAACATTCCTATAACAGCTCTGAATTTGTTTTTCAATCACTTGGAAGACACATTATTAATAGTGTGAGAGTGTGAGTGGCATTGGGTAAAACAATATATTTTAGTTTGGCTAAGATTTTTTGCACATTTGGTAAACATGCTTTGCATAATCATTCTAAATAATGTTGTATTATTCATGCAAGAGAATAGACTCCATTGTATGCTAAACATGGCTTGAAACCTCCATCTGTTCTGCTCTATCAATGTAGTTCTAAGTAATGTTAGAGAGTTTCTTATCCCTTAGATTGACTGTCACCTTATGTAACCTAGAAGGTGGTTCTGTGCATTATGAGTAACCTTGCCTGAGCCCTGAAGTCTAGCGTTAGCTCTCAGAGCTAATGCCTGGGCTTTAGCTCAGCAGGCTAAAACCAAAGAAATAGAATGTAGCAGCTTCAGTCACACCCCATTTGGGGTCTCTAGATTTCCCACACTGAAGCAATCTGTTACATTACATTTTAGTAATTTAGCATACACTCTTATCCAGAAGAACTTACAGGCGCAATTAGGGTTAATTGTCTTGCTTATGGGCACATTGACACATTGACATATCACCTAGTCTGCTCAGGGATTTGAACCAGCGACCTTTCAGTTACCTGCTGCCTCACTCTTCACTAGGGCCGGTCACAACATACAACATAAGCCTATAACCCACTGTTTGTTTGTGGTTTTGTCCATCCACAGGTGGAAAACAGATGTCAATAGAGGAGTGCTGTAAGGATGGTCGGGACCGGGGCATTGATAAACAGGACTGCACAGCCCTCCCTCTCATCTCCGAGTCCACCACATGCAGGTGACCCCACTACTGTACTTACTGGGCTCTCTTACCCATATAAATATAATGACTACAATAGATAGAAAGTAGATTATATTTCTATGGTCTTACCTCTGTGCCCATAGTGGGAAGTGCTTACCTCAGTATTAGTCCTATTGGGTTAACTTAGAGCTGTAACGATAGACTATAGGGCAATATGTATTGTGGTAGGCCATAATGTGAGATTACTTTACCTTACCCCGGTCATAAATCCGCAGCCACATTATTGACTTGACGTGAGAGCAGGGGACATTACACTAGTAATAATGACAGTAATAACAGCTCTGGTAGTAATATTAGAAGGTGTGCTGCCACAGGTTCAAGGCCAATAAGGAGGAGATATGTTGCTCAATCTGCTCTCTGGTGGCACATGTATTTACATTGGCTACCCAAGTGATACAGAATTTGTTCAAATTATAGAGTGAGGGGGAAGGGTGATGGTTTCTGGTTGAGTGGGGGGTTGGGGGTTGGGTTTAGGGTTTAGAGAGAGGGGGTATTGCCAAATCCAGGAAATACCACTGAGGTGAAACTATACTCAAAGAGAGGACTGGAGAGGGGGAAGAACAGGAAATCGGAGGGATTATTTCAGACACTGAAAAAAAGACAAGAAGAGAAAAGAAAAACAGGAGCCCGGCTGTGCCCTTAAAAGGTCCTGCGGAGGCGGCATGAGTGCGGTTGTAGTTTATAAGGAAAAAGAGATCATTTCTGGTAAGAGGGTTGATAAAGACAGAGGCTTGTTGGAACCAGTTACAGGAGTGGAGTGGAGAGGGGATCTAAGTGCTGTACTGTACTGTTCTTTACTCAATCTTGTAAAACAGACAATGTATTTCACTCCCTCCCTACAGACAGACATACCAGACAAACCAGACAGACAGACAGAACAGAGACAGACCAGACAGACAGACAGACAGACAGACAGACAGACAGACAGACAGAACGAAAGAAAGAAAGAAAGAAAGAAAGAAAGAAAGAAAGAAAGAAAGAAAGAAAGAAAGAAAGAAAGAAAGAAAGAAAGAAAGAAAGAAAGAAAGAAGAAAGAAAAAGAAAAAGAAAGAAAGAAAGACCAGATCAGACAGACAGACAGACAGACAGACTGACAGAAAGACAGACAGACCAGATCAGACAGACCAGACAGACCAGACAGACAGACAGACAGACAGACAGACAGACAGACAGACCAGACCAGACCAGACCAGACCAGACCAGACAGACAGACCAGACAGAACAGACAGACAGACAGACAGACCAGACAGACCAGACAGACAGACAGACAGACAGACAGACAGACAGACAGACAGACAGACAGACAGACAGACAGACAGACAGACAGACAGACAGACCAGACATACAGACAGACCAGACAGAACAGAGACAGACCAGACAAACAGAACAGAGACAGACCAGACAAACAGAACAGAGACAGACCAGACAAACAGAACAGAGACAGACCAGAGACAGACCAGAGACAGACCAGACAGACCAGACAGACAGACCAGACAGACAGACCAGAGACAGACCAGACAGACCAGACAGACAGACCAGAGACAGACCAGACAGACTAGAGACAGACCAGACAGACAGACCAGAGACAGACCTGACAGACAGACCAGACAGACCAGAGGCAGACCAGACAGAGAGACAGACAAACACAAGCACCCCTTAACTTATTGTACTCCCTCAGAGGAGCAGACCATTGGCGGCAAAGCACAGCAACCCCAGTCTCTGTCTGATAAAGCTTGACTGTGTACAGTAAAGAGGTGTGCTGCCTGTTCTCACTCTCATTTCAGATCTGATTATTTACAGCAGACTCGCACAGCTTTTAGTCTACCTCAGTTTTCCCCTTGGAATTCTTACAGGATGGCAACCATTTCTGGTTTTACTGTAAAATGGCTAATCAAGCCACTCCAACTGGAGAGACTGGTCAGAGAGGTGGATATCACTGGTCATCCAGCTGTCTGTAAGTTCTCAGGCATCCTAGATAGGCTGGTCCAGACTCAGGCTGGCCATTCACCCAGAGAGGGATGTATTCCAGTAATGTTGCCCAGGAAAAGGGATGCAAAATCGAAACCAGGATTTCTGGAAAACATGGGAATTTTGGGAAAGTAAAAATGTTCCGACCTTATCCAGGAAGTGTTGCAGCTCTGCACCCCTCTGTGCCAATCAGGGGAGGGACATCCAATGGGGAGGTGGGTGGGTTAAAATAGTTACTGTAAATAATCAATTCTTAAGTTAGCTTCACTGTACCCATAACAGTGGGGGTGTGGTAAGCCAAATGAAGGCAGTCGTACATTTACCCAACTGATAAAGTGAAAATTGTAAACGCAAACAACTTTTTAATCCACCTTGAGCTCACACAGGGCCTTCCTTCATCACTCAACCCACTTACAGCAGCTGCACCAGGCAGGACTATGAATAGATCCCTATTAGGCATGCCCGGGGCTCTTTTTAATAGGAAGCACTTTGAGACAGCGCTCTATTCCACTAAGGAGCCCAGTGATGGAGTTAAGAATAAACTGTGTTTCCTGTGTCTTTCCTGTTCCTGTCTGACAGGATAGTACAGGAGCAGTGCTGCGCGGCGGTACTAGAGGACTCTATCTGCACCAACGGCATCAACATGGCCAAAGACCAGGGGGGCTGTGACACCCAGTTTCCTGGAAGCACCTGCGAGACCAAGACTGCCAAGGTGTGTCTGTGAGAGAGTGTGTGTGAGAGAGTGTGTGTGTGTGCATATGTGTATACATAGCACAAATACTTGTGTGTGTGTGTGTGTGTGTATAAAAAGTGTATGTCAGAGAATAATTAATTGTCTGCTTCAAAAACTTTACGTTCAGCACCGACGTGCAATTTCTGCAGGAGAGTGAATGTGCTTGAGTGTGTGTGCGTGTGTGGGCGTACGTGTGTGTGCATGCATCCGTGTGTGTGCGATCCTGGTGAGCAGGATGAAACATGTCACTCTGGGGAGAAATAAGGAATCGAGCTTGTTGCTGTCAGGTAGATTATACATTCACATAAGATACTGTCTACTACAGGCTCTCTGCCAAGCTAGGCGCTCTATACCCGGCTGTATTCCTCCTCAGGATCCTGCACAACCATAGCACCCCATCAACACACTACAGCACATCAAGGCATCAGTCAAGGCCCTTGCAGAGCTTTGCCAAGGGAGCCACAGTATATTTGCCCAGGAGAATGAGATTGTTGTTAGTGCAGCCAGCAACATGTCTTAACTTGATCCTCAACCTCCCTGAAATGCAGGTGTCGGCTGATTGCATTAAGGTGTGCTGCATTTTATGAATGGGAGAAAGGAGGTACAGGATGAGTTTAGAATGGGGGATAAACCATAGCATGCTCATTTTCTAGCTCCCTCTAAAATCTCTCAGTACACTACCAGACTACAACCCCACCACCCAATACCCATATTATGACATCCTCAAGGACACACACAGACAGAGAAGATAGACAGACACACTCAGACTAGACTCCTCGGTCGTGATTAGTTACCACAGCCACAAAGTCATAAACACCTCCTATTTCTACAATTTATCTTCTTAAAATGTGATTTTAAACCTAACCCTAACCCTAACCACACTGCTAACCTTATGCCTAACCCTAACCTTAAATTAAGACCAAAAAGCTATGTTTTGATTTCATGAATTTTTACAATATAGCCAATTTTGACTTTGTGGCTGTGGTAACTGGTGGAAGCCAGACTCCTTCCCCGAGTCAAGCCCAGACATTTCCCCTTCAGATGATGGTGATTGGTGAAGTTGTGAAGTGGTGGTGGAGTAATTTCCCTCTGTCCGTCAGTCTGTCCATCTGGCCAAATTATGCATATAAATACATTGAGTAGTCATGTCTATGGTCTGACTCCTCCAGATGTGCTGTGACTGTTGTCTGCTGGGCCGGGCTGCTCAGGAGAAGGGTCTGCCCTGTGACCACAGCCTGTCTCTGGGCTACCAGTGTGGCCTGGTGTCCCGGGCCTGCTGCGATGACGGAGCCCCCGATGTGGAGACCAACAACAATCTGGGTAAGAGAGGAGGGTGGAGGGAGAGGAGGGTGGAGAGAGAGGAGAGGTGGTGGATGGAGGGGGGAGATGGGAGAGGAGAGTGGAGACGAGGATGGAGGAAGGGAGGAGGGAGGAGGGAGGAGGAGCTGAGGGAGAGGAAGTGGGGGGAGGGAGAGGAGAGGGTGGAGGGAGGGGAGGGAGGAGAGGGGGAGGGAGAGAGGAGGGCTGGAGGATGGGTGGAGGAGAGGACGGAGAGGGAGAGAGGAGAGGGAGGGTGGAGAGAGGGAGAGGAGGGAGAGGGAAGGGTGGAGGGAGACCGGTGGAGGGAGAGAGAGCAGGGTGGACGGGGAGAGGAGGGTGGAGGAAGGAAGAGGAGGGTGGAGGGGAGAGGATGATGGTTGGGAAGCGAGGCGGGAAGGGGTGGAGGAGAGGCGGGCGCAGGGGGGTGCGAGGGGCGAGAGGAGGTGAGGAGAGGATGATGGAGGGAGATGAGGTGGGGGAGAGGAGAGGAGAGGGTGGAGGGAGAGGAGAGGGTGGAGGGAGAGGAGGTGGGGGAGAGGAGAGGGTGGAGGGAGAGGATAGGGTGGAGGGAGGGGGGAATGGGAGGTGTTGTAATAGAGAGGGCAGGGAGGAGGGAAAATGTGGAGTAGAGAGGTGGAGGGAGTGACAGGAGATATGGACTATTATTCATCTAGTTCTACACTGCCATCTGGTGGCTATTAGGAGACATGGCTCTTACTGCTGTTTTAGTAAAGACCTACATTGTCATGATGAATGGTTTCAACACTCCTTGTTTGCAAACAGTTTTTGCCTGTACTGGTCAATCTTTTATTTTTTATCCCCCACAGTTTCTGACAAAGACAACAAGACCCTCACTGTCAAGGATAATCCTTTACTGAATGAGTGCAGTAATGGTACAAACAACCCGTCCACACATGACCTTGACATGTTATTAGCTGACTGTCCTCACAGAGTAAGTCAGAAACATAAGTACTCTAATAGAAAAAATATTTTACTTTAATGTGCACATTTTCTGTTCTCAACAGGATTAGCGAAGTGTGCACAGGAATGTGTGGGCAACGGCACCTGTGCCTGCTTCAAAGGCTACAAACTCAAACCAGATGGGAAGAACTGTGAAGGTGGGTGGAATGGAGGCAGCAGCCATATCTTGTTGAATAGTAAATCAGTTGGAATAAATCCCTGTTCATCTAGTATCTCCACAGGACTAGGATATCTTACCTCTTAGATACGCCTTCCATATTATCCTCTCCTCTTCCTCTCTCCCTCTCTCTCTCAGATATAAACGAGTGCCTGCTGGGTGCCAGTAACTGCCGAGTAGGCGAGCGCTGCATCAACACGCTGGGGTCATTCCGTTGCCAAAGAGAGGTCAGCTGTGGTACCGGTTACGAGCTTACCGACAGCAACAACTGCAAAGGTCAGAGGTCGCAACACAACACCTCCTACAGGGGAGAGGGAATATGCAAAGATCAATATGTATGATTCATGATTCATACATCCATGATAAACTGGATACAGACTTTATCTATCTATCTGTCTCTCTGTCTGTCTGACTGTCTGTCTGTCTATCCATCCTTCCTTCCTTCCTTCCTTCCTTCCTTCCTTCCTTCCTTCCTTCCTTCCTTCCTTCCTTCCTTCCTTCCTTCCTTCCTTCCTTCCTTCCTTCCTTCCTTCCTTCCTTCCTTCCTTCCTTCCTTCCTTCCTTCCTTCCTTCCTTCCATCCATCCATCCATCCATCCATCCACCCATCTATCTATCTATAGAATTTACAATGAAGCTATTGTTGAGTATTTATGAGAATAGATTTGAATCACATACATTTTAATATCATGTAAATCTGCTGATGCTGTCGTACAACATGCCTTCTTCCCCCCAGACATTGACGAGTGTGAGTCGGGCACCCACAACTGCGCCCCAGACTTTATGTGTCAGAACAGTCAGGGGTCATTCCGCTGTCGGCCCAAGAACCAGTGTGGCGATGGATACATCCAGGATGCCCTGGGCAGCTGCATCGGTTAGCATCAGAACCCTGTTACCATGGCAACACATCACCAGGACAACACATCACCCCATCCATCCCACATATACCCCCAAACACAGTAACTTCAATGTACCGTCCACAGTGCCCTCTGACATACATACATACACTACCGGTCAAAAGTTTTAGAACACCTACTCTTTCAAGGGTTTTTCTTTATTTTTACTATTTTATTCTACATTCTACATTGTAGAATAATAGTGAAGACATCAAAACTATGAAATAACACATATGGAATCATGTAGTAACCAGAAAAGTGTTAAACAAATAAAAATATATTTTATATTTGAGATTCTTCAAATAGCCACCCTTTGCCTTGATGACAGCTTTTACACTCTTGGCATTCTGTCAACCAGCTTCACCTGGAATGCTTTTCCAACAGTCTTGAAGGAGTTCCCACATATGCTGAGCACTTGTTGGCTGCTTTTCCTTCACTCTGCCGTTCGACTCATCCCAAACCATCTCAATTTGGTTGAGGTCGGGGGATTATGGAGGCCAGGTCATCTGACGCAGCACTCCATCACTCTCCTAATTGGTAAAACAGTGTCACCAGCATAGCACCCCCACACCATAACACCTCCTCCTCCATGCTTTACGGTGGGAAATACACATGCGGAGATCATCCGTTCACCCACACCACGTCTCACAAAGACACGGCAGTTGGAACAAAAAATCTCAAATTTGGACTCCAGACCAAAGGACAAATTTCCACCGGTCTAATGTCCATTGCTCGTGTTTCTTGGCACAAGAAAGTCTCTTCTTCTTATTGGTGTCCTCTAGTAGTGGTTTCTTTGCAGCATTTCGACCATGAAGGCCTGATTCACACAGGCATGTTGAGATGTGTCTGTTACTTGAACTCTGTGAATTTATTTGGGCTGCAATTTCTGAAGCTTGCAACTTTAATGAACTTATCGTCTGCAGCAGAGGTAACTCTGGGTCTTCCTTTCCTGTGGCAGTCCTCATGAGAGACAGTTTCATCATAGCGCTAGATGTTTTTTGCGGCTGCACTTGAAGAAACCTTCAAAGTTCTTGAAATCTTCCGTATTGACTGACCTTCATGTCTTAAAGTAATGATGGACTGTCGTTTCTCTTTGCTTATTTGAGCTGTTCTTGCCATAATATGGACTTGGTCTTTTACCAAATAGAGCTATCTTCTGTACCTTCCCCTACCTTTTCACAACACAACTGATTGGCTCAAACCTGTTAATTGAAATGCATTCCAGGTGACTACCTCATGAAGCTGGTTGAGAGAATGCCAAGAGTGTGCAAAGCTGTCATCAAGGCAAAGGGTGGCTATTTGAAGAATCTCAAATATAAAATATATTTTGATTTGCTTAACACTTTTTTGGTTACTACATGATTCCATATGTGTTATTTCATAGTTTTGATGTCTTCACTATTATTCTACAATGTAGAAAATAGTAAAAATAAAGAAAAACCCTTGAAAGAGTAGGTGTTCTAAAACCTTTGACCGGTAGTGTACATTACATATGTATAACCTCTGACCTCTACCACAGACATCAATGAGTGTCTGGCCCAGACGGGGCCTTGCCACCCTGGCCAGTTGTGTATGAACACGGTGGGCTCCTTCACCTGCCAGAGGAACTCTGTCAACTGTGGCCGGGGATACCACCTCAACGACAACGGCAACCGCTGCGTGGGTACGTACGGCTGCTTCATTTACATACTGAGGCCTCATCGCACCAGTCGGGGCATAAGGCCTCCACAAGATCCCTGTCCTGGGCTATAGTAGACAGCCTCAACATCCCCTGTAACCACCTCAGCACTGATAGACATGGTTCTCTACCATGTTCACCTCCATTGGTTAGCATTAGGAACCTGACACTGTAACCTACATTTCCATGTATTTCTAGTGGCCTCGCTATCCTTCTGCATGCCGATGCATTTGTTTCTTCCTGTAATTTATTGTGGTCTCTCTCTCTGCCCTGGTGTAGATATCGATGAGTGTAAAGGTCCTGATGGAGCGTGTGCAGGCCATGGCTGTATCAACCTGGTAGGATCGTTCCGTTGTGAGTGTAAGACTGGCTTCATCTTCAACAGCATCAGCCGCGTCTGCGAAGGTACACACTGACTTCCTACTCCTTGTAGTTACCTAGTAGTTAAAGGACAGTGTAGTGTCAGTTGACATAAGCAGAACACCAATAGTCATGACTGTTTATGACATCTGGTATGTCATCATAATCACAGTGTTATGTAGGTCTTATGACAAAGGGTTCAAGTTAAAGGTTACCGAAGATTGGGTCTGTGCTTGCTTCGGTTTCTTATATACTGTAGATCAGGGATCATCAGCTAGATTCAGCCGTGGGCCGGTTTTTTCTTGAGTGGATGATCAGGGGGCTGGAACATAATTACAAATAATTTGTAGACAGCAAATTGACCGCAAGAAGCCCAAACAGATATAATATTTGACTAAATCATAATCATTTCAAACCTTGCTTACATTTGTATACGATGACATATATCTCTCTATTATGCGTGGGAATACTTTGGAACAGATTTCCTAAATTAAAATCAGTTGGAGCTGATTGGCTGGTGTTTTTACAGTCTTTTATGTCCCCAAAAAATTAAAAATAGAAAATAACTGGCAATTGGGGAACCCTGCTGTAGATATTCAACTTAGTGTCCTTTTCTTCTGTGTCTTAGATATCAATGAGTGCAGGCACTACCCAGGGCGCCTCTGTGCCCACAAGTGTGAGAATGCCGTGGGGTCCTATAAGTGCAGCTGCACCCAAGGCTTCAAGCTGGCCAGCGACGGCAGGAACTGTGATGGTAAGGCAGCCTTCCAATGTTAATAGAGGTGTTTAAATCTGAGCTTCTCTCATTGGCCATCTCTTGTTTTGCCTTACTGAAGTTTGTGGTCATGTGTTTTATAAAGGTTTACTCGCTAGAGCGCAGAGAGAGAGCGAGAGAGAGAAGAGAGAGCAGAGAGAGAGAGAGAGAGAGAGAGAGAGAGAGAGAGAGAGAGGAGAGAGAGAGAGAGAGAGGGAGGGAGAGAGAGGAGAGAGAGAGAGAGAGGAGAGAGAGGAGTAGACAGAGAGAGGAGAGAGATAGAGGGAGCAGAGAGGAGGGGAGCGAGAGGGAGGAGGTAATGCGATAGATAAAACGAGATATCTAGAAGTTCTCGAGAGCGATCTCAGCTAGCGGAGGGTTGGGCGATAGCTGATCTCCTATCGATGCTCATCTATCTCTCTATCTCTCTCTCTCTCTCTTTTCTCTCTCTCTCTCTCTCTCTCTCTCCTCTCTCTCTCTCTCTCTACGTTGCTCAAGCTCAGGTGACAGTACTGTGTATAGATTACTAGTATTATCTAACTGAGTTACATTGTTGTGTGTAGATCTAAATGAATGCGAGAGCAGCCCTTGCAGTCAAGAGTGTGCCAACGTGTACGGCTCCTACCAGTGCTACTGTCGCCGTGGCTACCAGCTCAGTGACAGGGATGGCATCAACTGTGAAGGTAGGAGATGATAGAACACATCTAATGAGCCATAGCCTACTGTGGAACCTAATCAGGAGCCCCATTACAGAGGTATTATTTGTCTTGACTTCCTGTACCCTTTATATCCTCTATTGTTTGACCTCTGATCTTTGACCTCCTCTCCAGACATTGATGAGTGTGCCTTGCCCACCGGGGGTCACATCTGCTCCTACCGCTGCCACAACACCCCCGGGAGCTTCCACTGCAACTGCCCCGCCACCGGCTACACCCTGGCCCCCAACGGACGCAGCTGCCAGGGTAAGTCCTTGCTCCTTATGGGGGTTTAGGGGTTCTCAGCATGGGGGTTATGGTCATTCTTCAGATCAGAAGGTTGCTGGTTTGAATCCCCGAGGTGAAAAATATGTTGATGTACCCTTGAGCAAGCAACATAACCCTAATTGCTCCTGTAAGTTGCTCTGGATAAGAGCGTCTGCTAAATGAATAAAATGTAACAGTGATAATTCTGTGAACCAAACTTCTGTAATGAGTAGCCTGAGACCTGAAGAGTTGCATTAGCTCCCATTGCTAATGCCTAGGCTTTAGCTCAGCGGTCTCGTGACGCGCAGGAGACCGATGTTTGAGCCGAGTTTTCATGTTTAATATATAGGATTGTAAATTTTTTGGGTTCTGAATTGATTAATTTCTCTTCCTGTTCAGATGTTGATGAGTGTGTGACAGGGACACACACCTGCTCTGAGACAGAGAGCTGCTTCAACGTGCAGGGTGGATTCAGATGCTTGTTCTTTGAGTGTCCACCCAACTATCGCCGAGCAGGGGAGAAGTGAGTACCTACCTACCTACCTAAGGTCTCTCTCTCGAATACTGGGGGTATATGCCTGTTTTTAGTTCACAGTATCACAAGGTCACCAGGTATGGAGTTCTCAGTTAAGTTCTCATTGACCAAGGGGGATGACTTTATGTAACTCCTTGTTAATCAGGAGAACAACCCTTTTCACACTACTGAGCCAAACTGAGTCCAGTCAAGGCAAGCATTACTGTGCTGGCCTGGCTAAGCATTGTGAAACGAAAAACATCCCTGCCAGCAGAGTATGGTCAGGTTGGTCCTAAAGTGTGGATCAGGCACAAGTTATTTTATGGCCACTGTTCTACAGTGTATACACAACCTAAACCCCAAACCCAACCTAAACCCCAAACCCAAACCCAACCTCAACCCCAAACCCAACCTCAACCCCAACCCCAACCTCAACTCCAACTCCAACTCCAACTCCAACCCCTACCTCTCTATTGAAGCTGTGCATGCCCAATGTTGATGCTTAATGACTTCAGTTTTAGGATTCAGTCAAAGCATGTTCTGTTAATGCAGGCAGTTGAATGACAAAATGTAATACTTTCCTTGAGATGTTCTTGCATGACCCTACAGGGGGCAGTGTGACACCTACTGGTCCACAGAAACACATGAGGCTGACTTTGTCCCTACCCACCTAGCCCCACCCAGCTACCAGCATGCCATGCACGGCAAATCAAACTTATACCTCTCTTTTGTTTTCTGTTTGTTCTATCTGTCTGTCTTTGTCTTGTCCTGTCCTGTCTCTTGCCCCTCTCTCTTCTTACAGTCGTTGTGAACGCTTGCTTTGCAATCAGACTAGCGAGTGCCTGGCCTCGCCTCTGAGAATAACCTACTACCACCTCACCTTCCCCACCAACATCCCCGTGCCCACCAACGTCTTCCGCATGGGCCCGTCCAACACCGTGCCCGGAGACCACGTCCAGATTGCCATAGTCGGCGGCAACAAAGGCGACTTCTTCAGCGCGCAGAGAGTGCCCTCTGGTGGTGTAATGGCTGTGACGAGGCCCATCACAGAGCCGCAGGACTTTGAGCTGTCTCTGGAGATGAGACTGCTGCGTTACGGCACCACCAGCACCTACCTAGCCAAAGTCCTGGTGTTTGTTGTCCAGGAGCAGCCCATCCTACCCTATAACGCCATCCCCGAGTAGAGGGGAGTAGCATAGAGTAACAACAATAACAGCCAAAAAAGAGCAAACACTTCCATGATAAGCAAGCTCATACACAGTTGACATAGACCAGAAGCAGCATTTTTCTGTAATTTGTGTCCTTGTTTTTGGTCTTATTGTGGTTTTTTGATTACTGTAGCTATTCCAAGTATAGGCCCGCAAAATAGGCAAAATGTAATGTACTCTGTTGGAATAGCCGCTAGGTGGCACTCTAGGGCAGGGTATTGAGGTAGTGGCCTGGGGATGCCAATTGATTACTGTATGTGAATTATCATTTGCATGGTGTAGTTGTAGTCCAACATTATCTAATGGTTGATTTGTTTAATGAAATGTTTTGTATTAAAATTGGAATAGACACAATAGACGTTCAATTCTGACACATTTTTTAAACATATGTTTTGTGGACAGCACCAGAGATAGAATTTTTTATTTCAGTAATACATAGCTGGGGGAACTATGACCTGTAAAGCAAGTATGCACTTAATGTTTGGGGTAAGATTATGTGGTTTGTGAAAACGTATTTTCAGTGGCATAGGTACATCTGTTGAATAGAACTGTGATATTCCAGTAGGTGAGTATCAGTGTTTTAAATAGCATATGAAATAGCATATTAGCACTGTCAAGTAATGGTTGATTTGGTGGAAGCAGTTAATTGGTGGATCCACATCCTTCTAATGTGGTCTCACATCCTGACCTAGACTACTTGATATTTTAGGAATAATGTGAAATGCACAGATATATTCCACTGCATACTGCGGGTGTAAAACCAAGCAGACAGTGACTCAAAGGCAAGCCAGAGTAAGTGACAGGCGAAGGATGCAGTCGTGGAAGACTTGGAAATATGCGAGGTACAGAGAAAGAGTATAAATAGCCTAACATGCTGTTAGGCCACTAGTCAGAGCCTGTCTGGGCTGCGTCTTACAATAACTGTAAATTCATCCATGGGTCCCAGGTTTCTCCTGACCTGTCAGGGCAGTAAGGATACACCTGTCTAGTCGGGACATCCTTAAAAATAAAAACATGGTGGTCTGTGCACAGCTACAGATGAAGGATTTTAATTTGATCACCCTGTTGCAGGATAACTTTTCTACAACTCAGGAAATCTAAAACCTGTAGTGTATTTGAGGTTTAAAAAGGCTTCTGAAGTTTGTAATTTCCACTTTGAGATTTCAGACTTGATTTTCCCTTATGAAAAATGTATCAACCCCTTCAAAAATGTCAATTAATTATAATCCACACAATAATTCACATTTCCTGTTGCTGCAAGATTAGTTTCCTTCTGTAGAAAACTGGCTCAAATGAAGATCCTACATCTGTAAAGCACAATTCGTTTTTTTCTCTACTCTGACAGTGAGTTATTGGGATCTGGGTTCTGGCCGGTGGTCTGAACAATTTGTGGCGGCGCAACATCACCGCTCGGAGAATGAACGATGCCCTGCAGTGTTTGTGTTGGGGCGTTATCAATCTGCCGACTATAAATAATAATTACCCAAAAAATAAAAGGACTTTGCAGCGCTTGACCAGAGGACTTCCATTCCATCCAACAGTCTGTTTTTCTTTCTGGTCTTGAAGTATTGGTTTTTTTCTGTAGGGCTGGGTCTCTCTGGGCCACGTGAGGTGAAGAGAGAGATGAGAGGACAGGGGAATGCAATGGCCCTCCTGTGGCACCCACCCACCCACACACACACACACACACACACACACACACACACACACACACACATACACACACACACACACACACACACAAAGGGCATAATTAGCCCTTCTCTCTACTTGCTGTCTAGTCTTTGATGTACCCCGCTCTGTGAGAGGGCCAGTTCACCCTGGGTCATCATAATCTTGTAAATTCACTCCGTGGCCTAGCGGAGCAGAGCGTTCGCCCAATCTTCCAGGGCCTGCTCTCTCGTCTCACTGCTGCTGCAGGCCGAGGTATTATAAACTAGAAGAACATTTGTGGCTTTGGCCGGGACCAAAGCAAAACTTGTACCCAGGCGCTAATTGCTAATTACAAGCCCCTACCCAGCAGCGGCTTGACTTTTTGTTAGGGGCTTCTCCCCTCTCTCCATGAAAGGAGCTGTGCAACCCGAGCCGGGTTCTGGCCTGGGGTTGAGCTGCAGCTTATAGGTCCCACAAGGAGAGACAGAGAGGCATTGACAATGAGTCATGATGTAGCTATATTATACATTACACTGGAGCAGTGGTGGACGTTCACTGTACCCTATACATGTTACTCTTGGAAACCAGAGCCAAATCATGTATGCACTGGCCAGCTACTTGTCTGTTGGCATTACCTTGCGTTACCTTCCGTTTGAAGCCCATCCACACCAGACATTATCAACTGTATAAGCTGCATGTACGGTATCTTGTCTGTTTAGACTCATGGAGAAGCAGAGTTCGTTCGGTAGAGCATGGCACAACCTCACGCCCCACCAAGCGGAGGAGATTATGGCTGATGTTGAGTTGTAGAATTTGTCTTGATATGTTTCATAACCAGGACCTCCCCAGGGCAATGATGATTTAAATAGGGGTCTCTGTCCCTGGTGCTTGGGGGTGAAAGCCTGCAGAGAAGCAGTTCCTCTCAGATTCCAGGACAGGTTCCTGGCAGCGTAGCGGTCCTGTAGCTGTAGGTATGTGGGTGGGTGGCATTTGTTTCAGCGGGGTCTCCCCTCACCCTAAGCTGCCACTGATTAGATTGTGAAATAAACAGAGTCTTAAATAATGGGATGAGAGCAGCTCGGAGCGCTCTGGGAGTTGTCTAGTCATGTTCTTCACAATTTAGGAGACTTTTAGAACCCCCCTCGTCCCATAAATTCTCCTCAAGAGATTATCGGATACGAAGCCGGGGACACGCTCAACAAATCCAAATATTTTCCCATCTCCTCGTAGTATTTCATATTTCACTTCTCTTCTCCCCACACAACACAACCACTGCATCAGAAACCAAACAATCAATGGCAACCAGAGCCTCCACTAGCCAGCTACACTCTGGCTACTGTGTGATCTTTGGCCGTCGTTGTTTTATCATTCTTGCTAGCCAGATACAGTACTGATGTTTTTGATGTAGAATACTTTCTCCAGCCTCCCCGCTGTAGTTGGACAGATTGTGTTTGTGTTGCGGTTGTTGCCTGCTGTGTTCTTGATTGTGCAGTATACTTCTCCCTTGGAATAGGATGCCCTGTCATTGTGAGCTTCAGGGGAGGAACTGAAGGCGGTTTGTGCCTAAGGCTTTTTATAATCTCTCCCTAAAGGTCAGAGTTTGTGTGGGTGTGTGCATGTGTGTGTGTCAGGTAGCTTAGTGGGTAAGAGCGTTGTGCCAGTAACCGAAAGGTCGCTGGTTCTAATCCCCGAGCCGACTAGGTGAAAAATCTGCCGATGTGCCCTTGAGCAAGGCACTTAACCCTAATTGCTCCTGTAAGTCGCTCTGGATAAGAGCGTCTGCTAAATGACTTAAATGTGTCCTCTCTCAGCAGGGCAAGGGTCGAGCGCTCAGACACCGTCCGCTGTGTGAAGTCGTGCCAGCCCAATGACATCAGCTGTGTCCTGGACCCTGTACACTCCATCTCCCACACCTTCATTTCCATGCCTACCTTCAGGGAGTTCACCAGGCCAGAAGGTAGGGGGCGATCTCTCATGCACTTATTTAGATTACATCACACTTTTTATCACATCAAATGTTTTTTTCACTGCCAGCATGTTATGTGAAAACATACTTGTAAGTATATTCCTTTTTATGTTACCTTGATGTCCAAAACATCTTGCCCAAAAAAGTCCATGGGATAGACTAGCCTCCTGTCCAGGGGGTGTGCTTATACATCAAGCTGCCTCACGCTTCATAATGAGCTGTTTCGGCTGGCAAAATCCAAGGCTCTTGCAAGGCTACTTACTTACTTGCCCAAAATCAGCTAATGCTTAAAGAACGACTGCCTTTCAAAAGCAACTAATCCCTTTGAAAATGGCCTATGTGACATCAATATGAGTCAGAAACAGTTATTCTAGTGTCAAAATTGACTACAAAGTGTAAATGGGATAATTTTGGTCATAAAGTCAGTCTCGTCTAAAACGGAGTTTGGAACATCCATGCGTCACAATGGGTAAATTAATGTTGGGTTTTGATTTGACGATCTCCATTTGTCCACTAACATGGGATGAACAGCTGCGGTGATTGCTCTCTTGAGAAATACTGCACCAAACATCTTAGTTAGATGTAAAATTGCACAACGAGAACATCCTCAGCAAAAACGTAAACATTTATTACAGATTTCTTGAGATTTCTTAGATTGATTCTGGGAATTTTGAAAACGTGAAATAGGCTTCCTCGTCTACAGTGTCTCATGGGGGACAAATATCATTAACCAAATGCGGAATGGGTCAGGAAACACACCTCCAAGACTGAAATCTCAAACCGAGACAACCTAAGTCCTACATGTGGTGCACATTTCAGATGCACTCCTCCTCAACTTCATGGGAAGTTAAGTCCTTGTTGTTTCTCATAAGCTCCTCGTCGGGGTGTTTAGGACTTGCAGGCCTCCAACTGAACAACAGTTCCTCATCCCTGTCATGACCCCCTCTGCACACAATAAACCCCAAGCTCAGCTGCCTCCCATTTTATTGTCTTCCTCCGAGGAGAAGTTGGCACGAGCCTGGCCGTTGCAATCCCAGCCTGATTATGAGGGTTTAAAGCTCTGTAAAGCTCTTTTGTCTCTAATTGTTATCTTCTTCCAACAGAGATAGTTTTCCTGAGAACCATGTCGCCGGCGCACTCCTCCCCCCACATCAGCTCCGACATCGTCTTCGACATCCTGGAGGGAAATGTCCAGAACTCCTTCGACATCGTCAAGCGTCAGGAGCACGGTGTAATCGTGGGTGAGTGGAAAGAAAGAAGGAGCGAAGGGATGCAGCTAGCTAGGCCATACGTCGTTTGACTTGAGTTGAGGTCTGAGTAACTCATCAAGTCACAAGGGCCAAATAACAATAGCAGCCAATCACTAGTTCCGAGGCCTCCCTGGATAGATGTTCAAACAAGCGGTTTTCTGACCTAATTTTGCATTGCGTAAGGGCTTTTTTTATATATACAAACCAAACGCATGTGTGTGTCTCCATGTGAGAGCTGAGGAGAAGAAGAAGAAAGAGAAGCTTTGGTTTGAGAAGCATGAACTTCTCCATCATAAGGATGCTTCCGTGACATAAGTACATCGGACTAACTCTTCTAATGCCATTTGCACCCTGGTGGCATTTGGTAGCTGGCAACGTCTTCTGTGGCCCTTCATGTCTCCATCCTCTAGGAAGCTGTCCTTTGGGTTGTCTTCGAGACCAATGAAGGACGGCTTTCTCTTCTTTCTCCACCAAACATTTGGCATCAGTTTGTCCCACTCTTCTGCACCATTTAATTCACTTACTGACCGCCATGTTTTTTCCACTCCTTAAGCAACAAAGCCTTTCTTCTCCCCAACAGATTATTGTGTCTATAATGTACAGAGATGGCTTATACTTTTGCATATCAAGCAGTCTGGATGGGCATAATATATTTTCATGTGCGTATGTACATTTCTATGACAAATAT